GAACACTTTGTGGAAGAGCGCGTTAAAAGCAACGTTGTACCAGATGCAGGGTGATCAGCATTGTAGGTATTTCAGTTCGATTATGAACATGCCCAAGTCTTTGTAAAAGCAAAACACAATTTAAAAAAATATTGTAATAAAATTCGGAGAGCAACATCAATCCTGACTTCCCCTAAAGCTACAAAATACAGCGCGTCCCAAAATACCCGCAACATTTGTTTTGCGAGGCTCTAGCTCGACGCGGAAACACGTACCGCCATTATTTTTGAATAACTTTAAAGCTTGGAATCTGGACTTTATTCCTGGTAAATATTGGTTTTGTTTTTCAAGAGGGTTTTGAAAATGTTCGTTTTTAAATAGAGGCATGTCAAAATGCGAAATCAATATAATAACAGATGCCATATTTCGAAAAACTACTCGAGCAGGTAGACAAAAATCGAGCAGGTAGACAGATGTAATTTTAGTGTGAAGGGCTGGAGGAGGGGCGTGCATTCCTGGCCCCCAGTATCCACCAGTACAAAACTTAACTGCATCTGATATATACGGCGTATGCCATACCCTGAGGAGGGACAATTGAGAAAAAAAGTTCTGGGTGTTGTCCTTTAAAAGCTGCCGTGAATTTCGATTAAAGGATAGCGCAACAACTACGAAAACATGACGTTCACAATGATCATTCTTCTGTTTGTTGATGAAGAACATAGCACTCAAACAACACTGGATACAAGGGTTTTTACAGCAACGCTCACTAGCATTTTAAAACGGGAAGTAAATATGAGAAATAAAATAGACCAAACTTCGAAATGAACATGGAGCTTGATATTAACCCATTTTGAATTGTAATTTGAATTATTTGAAATAACTACTCCAGTTCAAAAATATTACTTTTACGGACATAAAAATATACCTTTCCATACAAACCTACGGAAATAAAGGTGCGCGTAACGCAACTTTTGCCCCACGCGCTAAAAAAATGGCGCCGCCCATGGCAGAACGCGCGTCTGTACCACTGATCTCTATATTGAGATCAGTGGTCTGTACGCACTGCCGATCTAGTCTTATGGTCCCAACGCACGACGCGCGCGCGGCGCGCAGCGCTCAGTGCAATGGAAGTTCTATTGCACGGTGAATAGAACTTCCATACTGCAAGGTTTCAGTGCTGCCGGTGGTGGCGCTGTGACACGAATCTATTTCACGAAATGCGGAGGTTACTCCGTTTGTTCTCCTAATACAGACGATGAACTACATGTATCAGAACTTGTAGACACATTTGCAAAACATACAGGAACATCTTTTGAAGCATGATACCATAGAGCTATATTAAATATAGCTCTATGCATTATACTGATTCACAACTGAAAAAAGTTCTTGTCGCGATTTTACTCAGGAGCGAGACGACAAAACGCGGCACACTATATCAGATGACTAGGATTTATTCATGTGTTGTATAAAACAAATAATAAATGGTGAGAATAATTTCATTCAATGACAGATGAAATGTTCCATTCCACTCTGCTTCGCCTCGTGAAATGGAACATTTCATCTGTCACCTCAATTAATTTTACCATTGCACTCATAAATATTTTATATTTGTACAATATTGAGTGGCTCAGAGTGAAATGAAAGGAATATTATCACAAGGTAAAATCTGGACTTTTCCATTTCACGAGGCGAAGCTGAGTGAACTGGAAAAGTCCAGATTTTACCGAGATGCATATTTTTGTGGATCATTTATTTTTTGAAGCTGACGGAAGGTTGGCGTTTTATTCACCTGATAAATATGAACAAAATATCAATTCACAATTTATTTACATATCCCCTTACACCAAACCTTAAAAACAGTCAGTGTAACAGTATTTGCTAGAAATTACTAACCTTCAATTAATCAATTTCTGGAAATCACAGCAGAAAAACTAAAAGGCTGTGTTTTTCTCAAATATACCTGTAATTTAAGTGTAAAAATGTGCTCACTTCTATTTTTAACCATGTTTCACCCATGCGTTGCCCGGCAATAGATATTTTCACCCGAAATATGATAATGTATGCAAATGAGGGCCGTGATGAGGTGGAAACGTATAAAGTGGGTCCATTGAAAATATACAGGGGTCCAAACATTTGGGTCATTATCTTTCAATTTGTTCAGGATTTCTCGCTTTTTTCTTGAGAGAAGCCTCTAAAATCATCATAAGTAATACTATCCAGCATAATTTTTTTTTATGCACAAAATAAAAACTGTAAAAAAAAGTCTTCGTGCCAATTTCATAGCTTCGTGCAAGAGCTCGGGTGATTTTTGAATGGCATACGACGAAAAAAGTCACTTTCAGAATGTCGAGGCAGCGCTGGAGACGGTGGCGGAAGGCGCATGCTGCGGCAGAAAGCTTCTGAAGGAATGCAGAACCACCACAGATGTCATTGCACACCTCCTCAGTCGTGTGTTGCACCAAACGATTGAGGAGGTATGCAATGACATCAGGGGTGATCCTGCATTCCTTCAGAAGCTTTCGGTCGCAGCACGCACCTTCCGCCACCGTCCCCAGCGCTGTATCGACATTGAAGGATGTCAAGTGGAAAGTGGAAGATTGTGACAGTGATTATTTTTTTTTTTTCGTATGGCATTTAAATCTCACCCTCTTGCACAAAGCTGATGAAACTCGCTCCATGAAATTTGTCGTGCATTGTTTATATGATCTGAAATTTTGGTTTGATTCCATTGGTAAACAACATAGTTATTTTAGGATCAAAAGTATGACATTTTGTTTTTCACATGAAGTATATCAGTCAAGCAGGTTTGTTAAAAATCATAATAGTTTGGAAAAAAATGGATTTTTAAAAATGTAAATCAGATTTATTTGATTTGAATCAATTGTTTAAAATGTTTACATTTTTGTCTTTCTGTGAGATATCAAAAAGTTACATTCAACACAGTATTCAACACCCAGCTGTAAAACTCTGTTTATTTTGCATTGCGTCTTACTACCTTTAAGATATTTGTTTCAGAAATTATCTGTTCCTAAAAAAAAAGAGAGGAAGAACAATACATGTATTAATTAAGCATTAACTTTCAAAGGGCACAAACTTGTAGCATTTTTATTGGGGTGCCGGGCACAGGCCAACAGTCCACTTGACCGCGCAGCTGCATGTATTCAAGTGTATATGTCTCGCTTTGTTCCTGTTTAATATCTCTCTTTATTATATGAAGGGTTCTTGAGAATGCAATTTTTTCACATTTGCAATTTGGGCAATTCCACACGAGGCCTAATGGGCCAATTAGAAAGTTTACGAATGTTGCACATGTAAAGGGTAAAAGATGAGCTAGTGTTTTCTTTTTCTTCTTTTTTTGAGAAAATAACAGGTCTTTTTTCTGTGATATATATGTACGTACGTAGCACCGGACAGGCACACTTCATTTGATATATCAACACATTCCACTTCTATCAAGCGAAAATAAAACAGTTTTTGCACTGGCTTCAAAGTTATGGTGTGATTAGGTTTACGTACGAACAGGGACAGGCATTTTGTGACAAATGTCCAGTGTGTTCGTGCGTGTAAATCCTGCTTAGAGAAAATATCAAATAGTTCTTCACATCTGAGGCTAGGTTTTGACTGATGGCATTCCTCCAGGGTACATCTTCTTAAATCAGACAACATTATGGGATCATTAAATATTATGCTTACATTTGTACTTTGTGACTTTATCTAAAATGTCTGTCCCTCGTTACGTATGTGACACTTATAAAAACAATATCCACCATATTTTCTAAAATACAAAACCAGTTAGGGCCTATGTCCCGCTTTGCAGGTGTGGATATTTTGTTCATTAAGCTTGCAATGTCTACAGCAAAAATTGAGAGAGCAAGTTCCTAGAGGGCGCTCGTGTGCTCTAGAGAGGGCGCTGTTCAGCGTGCTCCAGCAATCCCCAAGTTCATGAAGTTCACTGATGTTACTCTCCTCAAAATCATTCCAATTTCCAGGTGCTTGTTTTTTTATGTAGCTATTGTTGACTGACTGGGTAAGTCCCTTGTAATAATCATTATAATAAATAATAGCAACTTTGGGGAACAGAATTAATAATAGCTTTGCCTTAAGCATGTTAAGTAACTCCAGCTGACAAGTGACATGCTCATGACGGAAGCTAGCCGGCCCCACCCACTAGTGTGGCCGTCGGTATGCTGCGCTGAACCAAAGGCCACACACCGTGGTCCGCGCTTTACTGAGGACGTTTTCATAAAAACTGCGGTCCGTTTCTTACATATAGTTGTATTCTATGATGTCCCATCTATCACTTCTGGGATGCTTAGGTGTAATGATGTTCAATTTTCCGAGATATTCTTCAATCTTTCTGGAGCCCATATATGGGTAATCCTTAGCTGGAGTTACCCAGCCCTGAGTTTTATCATTGGGTTGTCTATAAGGGCTGGAGTGAATTTTTCTCGTAACTTGTAGTATTGGCAAACATTTTTTGGAAAATGTTCAATTTTGTCCCCGTTACACACTAATTGCAACTGCAACTCACCCCAAACTTGCCTGGAATAACCATTACACAGGTCCTTGAAGTAAAAAACGATCCACGATGAAGATTCAGCCTACAATTGCAGTGAAAACAGGAGGAATAACCGCTAACTTGGCAACCTTGCTGGATTGGCCAGGACCGCAATTGGTTTGTGCACAAAAAAAATTGTGTACAATGAATGGCGGTCGATTAACAGGCACAGAGAGCGATCGCTGTCAACTACTCGTTTTTGCCGGCTGCGCTGGCTGTTGGCGCATGACGTCACGCGGAAGCGTAACACCCGATGACTGTTTCATGCACTATTGGTTGCGGTTCCAGTACCAAAGCTGTGATGCGAGTGGTAAACCTTATATTAGTGCATAAAACAGTCATCGGGTGTTACGCTTCGGCGTGACGTCAGATAACCGTTATTTGGTTTGAAAACAATTAGGATAACTGGATTTTGAAATCTCTGATTCCTCCCACCACTATTTTCCTTCTTTCCTTAGAAAGTTGTCCGTGAGTTGAGCTCAGAGGTTGCATCGTTCCTCAATCAACTACTGAAGGGGGACTTCGGCTCTGACTCCAAAGCTTTGTGTGAGTTGTTGGTCTTTTTTACTAAAATGTTGCATTTTCTCAATTTTTGTGGTTTGACTGTATGATGTAGGGTAGACGTCCTGAATTTTCGCCCGTCCCAAAATTCAGCACCCCTATATATATAGTGGTCTGGCCCGCCAACGCGTTCACGTGACGCAACTTTTTCCCCAAGCGCTGAAACATGGTGCCGCGCATGGCAGAAGCACGTGACTGCATGCATTGCTGAACTTACGCACAGGGTGCCGAATTTCCGGACAACACTAATGTCTTACAAAGTCACGTGACATTACCGAAGCAGGTTCGGGATCGAATTAGTTTTAGTATCGCAACATGGGCTATGCCCATGTGCTGTGTGTTGACGGGAGTACCAGGTAAATCGATACTGCATATGTCGAAAAATAATAATCGACTCTTATGGTGCCGAAATTCGGGACGTTTAGGCCACTAAAAAAAAAATAAGTCGGTCTCTGGTCAGTGCGACGGTCGATTTTAATCATGCGCGTCAATCTTTTTTTTTTCAAAAATGTTCCGCGGTAGCTCCAACAGCGCTCTCTATTGCCGCACCTCCTCAATTTTTTTTTTACCAAACAGCACCAAGGAATGGGAAATTGCACCAAGGCAAATGATCGAGAGCACCAAGGCAAATTATGGAGGACACCAGTGTACAATGTACATGAGGACACCAAAAAAAGCAAAATAGTACCCCACCTTGTCTGTACAATCCAAGCTTGAAAAAAAAAAAAGCCGCGTCCCCGCGTCAATTCCGGAACTTTGTTCTGACCAGAGACCGAATATTTTTTTTTTTTTGGCCTTACCCTATATTTTTTTTTTTTTTTTAATCCAGACAAAAGGCATAGGAAGTTATGTCCAAGTTAAGGCATTTGATTCTTGTGACAGAGTCTAGCTTCCAAACATGGGTTGAAATTCAGCCATTGTAATTTATCACAGCTCAAGTGTAATATCAAAAGATACCTCCTTTCTATTAGATGTGTGTTTGCTTCTTTTCTTATGTACATGTAGCCACCACTTTGATTAGCCTTTGGCTTTGTTGACATATTTTATTTAACCCCTTCTCGCCGGCTAACTGCTATAGCTGCGGCTTGAGGAAAGGCTATGTGCCGGGAGACGGCTAGAGCCTCATGCCCACACGTGCATTTCATTCATCGTTCGCTTGTGATTGCTACAATTAAGAGTGGCATTCGAAGGTGTATTTTCCTCTAGAAGGGGAAAGTTCGGTGAACCTTTTTTAGTCATGAAAAGCGAAATCTATTCAGCAACAACACTTATTGTTCTTGGTTGAATAGATGTTGTTGTTGTTTTTTTCGAGCACAGCGCACAGGCTTTTGTTTAAAGTTATAGTCCATCATTTGTAATTTGTGCATTTTGTTCGTTTGAAGCAACAAAAGTGCTCAAAAACTAAAGAAGGGTGCTGAACAACTAACCTGATGAAGTTTCAGCTCAGCTTCAGCTGTATATTTCGAGAAAAACAGCATTCTAGGATCTCAATTTCAAATCAAAAGTTGCTGAGTCATGTTTTGAATTGCGCCTGAATTCAGCGTCTGAGAAACGTTCTCGCTGAGCTGATTGCAGCTACGCGCTGTCGCGCACCGATCCGACGAATTATAGCAACCGGGGGTGTGTGTGCGTCGTGTCAATGCTTGCGCGCGCTTCGCCGAATAACAAAACGAACTACTCATTTTAATTTTCCTACTGTGCTTCTTATTACGCATGGTTGGAAATGCCTTCTTTCATTGATTACTTCAAAATGATATTGATAGCTTGCCAGAAAGAATAATTTCACAGGGAGTTTATTCCCCTTACTATCTTTCAACCAAGTATGTTTTTCAATAATAATTACGCCAATTACTTTTTGGATTGCTGCAAATGATGGACTATAGCTTTAATGTATGCGCTCATTGTTCACAGCTATGCTTGACTGATCACATGGGCTTTCCGTATGCACGGCGTATTTTACACACATGCGCCCTCAGTGAATACCGGCGCGCTGGCTAAGTATCGAAAAGCTGCACCATCTTGGAGGGGTTAAAAAGTACAGATTCTGTAACTGTGTTAGTACGACAAGCTTGTATAGTATATCCGATCAAAATGACACCATGGGAAACAGTGAGCCAATATGTATGGCCGCAACAACAAGTAAAAAAAAAAAAATTATTTTAAAGTAAGACACGTATCTCCTAACCCAAGAGTTGATACCTCTTGCTTCCTCACAAGACCAAGAGACAGAACAGGATATGGGCAAGCATCGAGCGTGTGCTGGCAGATCACCCAGCTGATCAAGTTGTCCGATTGCTGGCCGTCATCAGCGAGGAATCCGCTCTGTCGCTGCGACAAACGACATCGACCTGAAGAAAGATGCCGAGCAACTGAGGTTTTAAGGTAGTTTTTTTTTCTTTGGCTTCATTGCTGCAGTGCTGAAGGATAGAAATCCAATCACAAGTCTGGTCACAAGTTAATTACCAAAGAGCTATATTAAATTCAGTGTTCTAGCCAGGCATCAAATAGCGCTAGCACCCGCTACGCTTTCGGATAAAAGCGCTACGCTTAAATCGCGCCGCTACGCTACCGCTACACTATAAATTTTGGTTGCGAAAAAAAAATATCTGCCGTTTGTTCGTATACAAGCGCAGCAACTTTGAGCATTGCGCACTGGCCGTACGACACAGCGAAAAATAAACAAAGATCCCACCGCACGTAGCCCGTACGATACCCCTACCGTGATGCTGCGCCACACGCATTCGCTATGATAGCAATAAGCACGTGCTGTTTTGTGCTGCGTAGATACAGCGCTCCGTACGGACGTACGTGTCACCAATTACATGTCACGTACAGAGCGCTCTGTGGACCACACCGTTTTGCGGTATCGGGTGTGCTTTCCTAAGGTCAATATTTACAAGCATTTCAACTGTTTAAAATTATAAATAATACTTTTTATCAAGTCCGAAACATGTTACTGTTTGAAAATAAGTTCTTCAACGTCGGAACATAATTTTCGTAAAGGATTTATTCGAGAAACGATGTCCAAAGAAAGGCTAAGCACCCCTACGATATCAATGGATCCGTCCATAAAGATGGCCGCACGTGAAGAATTCTTCTCGAAGAATGTCGCTGGCGAAAATTTGGATTTTTGACTACACTACTCGTTGCTGATAATAACAGTTCAATAAGTTTGGTAGTAAAAACGGATCTGTTTGTTCTTAGGACAAAACCAATCAGCAAGTATTGCAACAAAGCAAGTTTTTTAGCGCTCTACGAATGCGTTGCTTTCTCAAATGCTGAGGGAAAATTTGGTCGCGTAGTTCGCCGGCGTAGCCGGTGTGGGCTGGCCCGCGCCCGCACGCCGGGCCGGCCGGGGACGGCCGCGGCCGGGATAGGAAGCAATTCCCGGTGATTATTTCTCATCGTCATTATCTAAAATTATATTTTTTAACATAACAAAAATGAGATTTCTCCTTCACATTGTGTTGTAGCATATTGGAATTGCAATCGCCGACGACTTTTTCTGTCTGAGACCTCCATGGTTTTACAATTTCTCTCCCTGCCGATCGGATGGTTTTATTTACAAATTTAAAATCGGAACTAGGCCCACTGCTACTACGGCAGCGCTATTCAACACAAGGCTTCTTGAAATATGAAATGTTCATGCGATTTGTTCTCGCACTTAATATTGACAAAGTAAATCCCATTTTTTTATAAAACATTGACTGAGGAACTACTAAAAATGGTTAAACATCAGAAAGCATCGATCTTGGAACAATTTATACATTGTAAACATAATCTAAAATTTGAAAACAGAAGAAACTTTACAGGAGCAAGTGTAGCAATCATTGAAACAAAACAAAATTTCTTATAATTTTAAACACTTCTGCTAAAAAAAAATCAGGGGAAAGTGGCAGGGAATCGCCTCAGATTGCACCACAGAGCATCTAGAGTCCAACATTTTTCGGGGCCCTTAAGCGAGCCCCGGACCCCACGCCGTAAGGGCTTCGCGCTCCGCGCTCACATTAGTCATCGAACCAAAATTACCCCTACGCTATAATTTCACCATGGCTAGAACCCTGATTAAATTACTTCTATAGCGCTAACTCCTCATTCTTGCGCGCGGAGACGCTTTGAAGTCGTCCCTGGCACAGACATTTTGAAGTCATGTGCGTGTTTGTAGAACACAATCAAATTAAATGGATTGAATTTAAAGTGTACTTTAAATGCACCGCGCAAGTAGAACATACGCAAACAACTTATTAAGCGCGTCACGACAGTCTACAAGAAACATGTCACGTTTAATCATCTACAGCAGATACGCTAACACGCCAACGCGGTGTTGCGCTGTTTGCGTAGAGGAAATTGAAGTCATGCATTTTGGTTTTGGGCCTATCGGCTTCGGTAACACACCTGTATTGAATACAAATGCAGATATGTAAATAGCCGTACAAAAGCTGTACAAAATTGCGAGTTTTCCACAAAATTTTGATGTTTGTGCACAAACATGGATGCACCCAGTAGGCATCACTTTGTACATGAGTCAGCATAGTCCATCATTTGTAACTGTGCATTTTGTTCGTTTGAAGCAACAAAAGTGTTCAAAATTTAATGAAGGATACTGAACAACTAACCTGATGAAGTTTCAGCTCAGCTTTAGCTGTATATTCCGAGAAAAACAGCATTCTTGGATCTCAATTTCAAATCAAAAGTTGCTGAATCATGTTTTAAATTGTTTTGAATTGCAGCTTTATGCCATGTCGCGCACTGATCCGACGAATTGTAGCAACTGCGCGCGCCTGTGCGTCGTGCCAATGCTTGCGCACGCTGCGCCGAATAACAAAACGAACTGCTAATTTAAATTTCCTATGGTGCGTCTTAAGACGCACTGTTGGAAAGGCCTTTTTTTGTTGATTACTTCAAAATGACAGCATGTCAAAAAGAATAATTTCACAGGGAGTTTACATGTAGTCCCCTTAATATGTGGGCATGAAATAAGCTTCCATAACGAGGTAAAACATAAACAAATCTTGTTAAAGTTTTGGATGGTACTGCGTAGAGAATTTTCATCATGGACATTGGTTGTAATGCAATGAAGACGTCGTCCAACCTCGGCTGAATCATGTTTTAATTTGTTTTGAATTGCAGCTACATTGTACATGCGATGGTAATGTGTAGAGTCTACTGATCATTATTTCTGTGTTTGTATCGGCAGTCCTCACCTCAGAAGTCAGCGCCCACGACGAGGAGCTGCTGAGGCAAGTCCTGCCTGTTCTACAGACCAGACTCAATGAGTCTACTGATCATTATTTCTGTGTTCGTATCTGCAGCCCTCACCTCAGAAGTCAGCGCCCACGATGAGGAGCTGCTGAGGCAAGTCCTGCCTGTTCTACAGACCAGACTCAATGAGTCCACTGATCATTATTTCTGTCTTTGTATCTGCAGCCCTCACCTCAGAAGTCAGCGCCCACGATGAGGAGCTGCTGAGGCAAGTCCTGCCTGTTCTACAGACCAGACTCAATGAGTCTACTGATCATCATTTCTGTGTTTGTATCTGCAGCCCTCACCTCAGAAGTCAACGCCCACAATGAGGAGCTACTGAGGCAAGTCCTGCCTGTCCTACAGACCAGACTCAATGAGTCTACTGATCATTATTTCTGTGTTTGTATCTGCAGCCCTCACCTCAGAAGTCAGCGCCCACGATGAGGAGCTGCTGAGGCAAGTCCTGCCTGTCCTACAGACCAAACTCAATGAGTCTACTGATCATTATTTCTGTGTTTGTATCAGCAGTCCTCACCTCAGAAGTCAGCGCCCACGACGAGGAGCTGCTGAGGCAAGTCCTGCCTGTTCTATAGACCAGACTCAATGAGTCTACTGATCATTATTTCTGTGTTTGTATCTGCAGCCCTCACCTCAGAAGTCAGCGCCCACGACGAGGAGCTGCTGAGGCAAGTCCTGCCTGTTCTACAGACCAGACTCAATGAGTCCACTGATCATTATTTCTGTGTTTGTATCTGCAGCCCTCACCTCAGAAGTCAGCGCCCACGATGAGGAGCTGCTGAGGCAAGTCCTGCCTGTTCTACAGACCAGACTCAATGAGTCAACTGATCATTATTTCTGTGTTTGTATCTGCAGCCCTCACCTCAGAAGTCAGCGCCCACGATGAGGAGCTGCTGAGGCAAGTCCTGCCTGTCCTACAGACCAAACTCAATGAGTCTACTGATCATTATTTCTGTGTTTGTATCTGCAGCCCTCACCTCAGAAGTCAGCGCCCACGATGAGGAGCTGCTGAGGCAAGTCCTGCCTGTTCTACAGACCAGACTCAATGAGTCAACTGATCATTATTTCTGTCTTTGTATCTGCACCCCTCACCTCAGAAGTTAGCGCCCACGATGAGGAGCTGCTGAGGCAAGTCCTGCCTGTCCTACAAACCAAACTCAATGAGTCTTCTGATCATTATTTCTGTGTTTGTATCTGCAGCCCTCACCTCAGAAGTCAGCGCCCACGATGAGGAGCTGCTGAGGCAAGTCCTGCCTGTTCTACAGACCAGACTCAATGAGTCAACTGATCATCATTTCTGTGTTTGTATCTGCAGCCCTCACCTCAGAAGTCAGCGCCCACGATGAGGAGCTGCTGAGGCAAGTCCTGCCTGTTCTACAGACCAGACTCAATGAGTCTACTGATCATTATTTCTGTCTTTGTATCTGCAGCCCTCACCTCAGAAGTCAGCGCTCACGATGAGGAGCTGCTGAGGCAAGTCCTGCCTGTTCTACAGACCAGACTCAATGAGTCTACTGATCATTATTTCTGTCTTTGTATCTGCAGCCCTCACCTCAGAAGTCAGCACCCACGATGACGAGCTGCTGAGGCAAGTCCTGCCTGTCCTACAGACCAGACTCAATGAGTCTACTGATCATTATTTCTGTGTTTGTATCTGCAGCCCTCACCTCAGAAGTCAGCGCCCACGATGAGGAGCTGCTGAGGCAAGTCCTGCCTGTCCTACAGACCAAACTCAATGAGTCTACTGATCATTATTTCTGTGTTTGTATCAGCAGTCCTCACCTCAGAAGTCAGCGCCCACGACGAGGAGCTGCTGAGGCAAGTCCTGCCTGTTCTATAGACCAGACTCAATGAGTCTACTGATCATTATTTCTGTGTTTGTATCTGCAGCCCTCACCTCAGAAGTCAGCGCCCACGACGAGGAGCTGCTGAGGCAAGTCCTGCCTGTTCTACAGACCAGACTCAATGAGTCCACTGATCATTATTTCTGTGTTTGTATCTGCAGCCCTCACCTCAGAAGTCAGCGCCCACGATGAGGAGCTGCTGAGGCAAGTCCTGCCTGTTCTACAGACCAGACTCAATGAGTCCACTGATCATTATTTCTGTGTTTGTATCTGCAGCCCTCACCTCAGAAGTCAGCGCCCACGATGAGGAGCTGCTGAGGCAAGTCCTGCCTGTCCTACAGACCAAACTCAATGAGTCTACTGATCATTATTTCTGTGTTTGTATCTGCAGCCCTCACCTCAGAAGTCAGCGCCCACGATGAGGAGCTGCTGAGGCAAGTCCTGCCTGTTCTACAGACCAGACTCAATGAGTCAACTGATCATTATTTCTGTCTTTGTATCTGCACCCCTCACCTCAGAAGTTAGCGCCCACGATGAGGAGCTGCTGAGGCAAGTCCTGCCTGTCCTACAAACCAAACTCAATGAGTCTTCTGATCATTATTTCTGTGTTTGTATCTGCAGCCCTCACCTCAGAAGTCAGCGCCCACGACGAGGAGCTGCCGAGGCAAGTCCTGCCTGTTCTACAGACCAGACTCAATGAGTCAACTGATCATCATTTCTGTGTTTGTATCTGCAGCCCTCACCTCAGAAGTCAGCGCCCACGATGAGGAGCTGCTGAGGCAAGTCCTGCCTGTTTTACAGATCAGACTCAGTGAGTCTACTGATCATCATTTCTGTGTTTGTATCTGCAGCCCTCACCTCAGAAGTCAGCACCCACGATGAGGAGCTGCTGAGGCAAGTCCTGCCTGTTCTACAGACCAGACTCAATGAGTCTACTGATCATCATTTCTGTCTTTGTATCTGCAGCCCTCACCTCAGAAGTCAGCGCCCACGATGAGGAGCTGCTGAGGCAAGTCCTGCCTGTTCTACAGACCAGACTCAATGAGTCAACTGATTATTATTTCTGTGTTTGTATCTGCAGCCCTCACCTCAGAAGTCAGCGCCCACGATGAGGAGCTGCTGAGGCAAGTCCTGCCTGTTCTACAGACCAGACTCAATGAGTCCACTGATCATTATTTCTGTGTTTGTATCTGCAGCCCTCACCTCAGAAGTCAGCGCTCACGATGAGGAGCTGCTGAGGCAAGTCCTGCCTGTTCTACAGACCAGACTCAATGAGTCTACTGATCATTATTTCTGTGTTTGTATCTGCAGCCCTCACCTCAGAAGTCAGCGCCCATGATGAGGAGCTGCTGAGGCAAGTCCTGCCTGTTCTACAGACCAGACTCAATGAGTCTACTGATCATAATTTCTGTGTTTGTATCTGCAGCCCTCACCTCAGAAGTCAGCGCTCACGATGAGGAGCTGCTGAGGCAAGTCCTGCCTGTTCTACAGACCAGACTCAATGAGTCTACTGATCATTATTTCTGTCTTTGTATCTGCAGCCCTCACCTCAGAAGTCAGCGCTCACGATGAGGAGCTGCTGAGGCAAGTCCTGCCTGTTCTACAGACCAGACTCAATGAGTCTACTGATCATTATTTCTGTCTTTTTATCTGCAGCCCTCACCTCAGAAGTCAGCACCCACGATGACGAGCTGCTGAGGCAAGTCCTGCCTGTTCTACAGACCAGACTCAATGAGTCTACGGACGCGCTTGCCTCCTGCATCTCTGTGAGGGATGCACTTTCAGCTTGGTAAGAGAAAGAAGACATTTGTGATGCGATCAAGCTAAATGAGTTGTTTGGTGGGAATTTTCATTTGGAGATTCAGGCCAAAATAGGGCCACTTCACCACATCACTTCATCACATCTCTTGGTGTTCTGACTTCCTTAATTTTTGAACTAAAGATGGTACCAGCATGCGGTTTTCACATCAATAATGCTGAGATTGTGCTCTTTTCAAATCTGTAATAAAACAAATTTGACTCTGGTCGACAAACGACTCATTTAGCTTGATCGCATCACATTTTGTTTAATATCTGGGTTTCATTTCACATACAGGGTGTTTAAAAAAAAACCTCAAAGCCCCCTCTTTTTCCACAGCTTTTAAAAAGATACATCACAAATACTGATACACATGTAGAGACTATATCTCATTAGCTTTTCAACACCGAAAGCATTTTTCCAATCGGGTAAATATTTGCATTTTTCTCCACAACGCAGGCATGCGACATTCCATCGGAATCGCTGATTTCCTCATTTTTTGACGTCTCATGAATGCCATTAAAAATTGAAAGATGCTGCAAAAAGTCTTGTGTGGTTTGGAGTTTCCTTGTTTTTTTCTTCTCAATTCCCAGTTTAATTCCCGACTACAGCCTGTGTCCATTTCCGTCTCGTAAATCGCCTTGCTGTACACAAAAAGTTAAAGCACTATGTCGCAGGTGTGTAACTGGGAAGTCGGGCATGTAACAGCTAGCCAAAATATTAGCTCCAATGTCAGAGCACCTTAGTTTAATTCCGTCCGATTTAGGAAATTAATTCTACATTCAGAGAATTCAAGTTGAGTTGGTTTCACAGTCCTGTTTTTTTATCAATTTCCTTGTCTAACTTATAAATATTGATATATTTATTGATATTATTGACAGGTGGGAGCAGCCAGCACAGCTTCTTACTCCCTGGGTCAAGCTGGACGACCTCGCACTGCAACAGTGGCTGGACAAATGGACGGTGGCCGTGACTAGACTGAGGCAGTTGGGCGTCTAGTGGCTCATGTCGGTACCAGACTATGTCAGTACTACAATGGTACCCTTAAAACACCATATAATGTAAACATGTGTTCTTATATTAGTTGCTCATGCAAATCAGGCTCCTCTGGACTGTGTATGTTAGGAGATGATCTGGTACACGGTATCCTGTGGAGACATGTGTATAATAGGGAACAACAAATTGTACATTTATGGGCTCCGTGCACTAACATGCATTAACGGTCAGAAAAGGAGAGTTGGGGGTGACCTAGACTGGTTCCTGATCCATCCACCTTGTATTTCGAATGTATCCAAAGTTACTGGAGACGAGGATTAGTCTCGTAGACCATCGCAAGTTAAATTCGACATGTCCTCGCTCCAACGATAAATAAAGTTGATATCTAATAGTTAGGCGAGGCTGATACAGAACACCATTTGATTTTGAAAAGGGGTTGGTAGACTGTTGGCTGTGTGTATGCTAATTTTGGTCTGAACCAGACTACGGTTGAACGCTGCTACATGTATAACAATCATCGCAGCATCCACAGAAATTGTTCTTAATATCGATTATCTGGTATAGCAATTTTAAGCTGCCGGTGCTCCCTTCTTAATAAATAGCACCCTTCAGAACTTCACCCTGAATGCCCTGGTAGTTACTGAAAGACGACTTTCAACACGTGCCGACTATTGAATTATGTAATTTCACAGTTTTTGAGCTTACTACCTACAGCAATGGGTGGCTTTCCCCTTCTATTCCTCAGGGAAATAATAGCCACTTGTCACTCTTCTGGTGACATTTTTCAGCAACAATTTTTGGTACGTTTTGCACACAAAAATCGGGAGCCAAGGACGATGTTTGGTATGGCCAAATCTTCAGTATACCGGTGTTCGGTATAGCGACGTTGCACTGTACTTGTGAAATACATGTATATCGTATAGCTCTGTGTACATGCATGCTGCATTTGTCATTTTCTACACTTCTTGCTTTAACCCTTACCCTACTAGACCCTCCAACGCATGCCAATATGTGCCTCAAGAAAATCTCCTATGTTTTTTGCATGGCCCTCCAATATCTGCCATGTCATTTCAAGGGTAGCTGGACAGGCACTCCAATACATGCCACAGAGAACAATGCGAGTCCTCTGATAACAAAGTGAGTGCCCCCAGCTGGTCAGTATCAGGCACCCTCCAGGGCCTCCAACTCCTGCCAATTGGAGCCTTCACTGTTAAGACAAACTATCTGCCAATAAACTGCAGCTGGAGGGCATTGGCATAACCAACTGACATGCAGTAAACTACCCTCAGAGAGTAAGGGTTAATTAATGTAAAACAGACGCGTATTTACAAATGCAGCATAAATTGCAAATTGATCAAAGAGAAAGAGATGGATTCATATTTATCCGATGATCTGCAACCTAAGTAGATACCAGTACCTATAGCAGAGGGATAATTTTCATTTTGAAATAATTGTTGAATTCTATGTACTTTATTTACAGTTAGTCATTTGGTCCGTTTTTTAGACAACATTTTACAGAGAGTGAACGGTTTAGCTTTGTTACAACTGATAAAGTAACAACCATTCACCACGGATCACCAACCGATAATGTTACAACTATTTATACTGTATCATTAATAGATAATGTAACAAAAATTGACCAATAGCGTAGTGACATTTACATGTATTACACTGTCAGTCAATTTCTGTTACATTATCGGTTAGTGATATCAGTCAATTTCTGTTACATTATTTGTTATTGATACAGTATCAGTCAATTTCTGTTACATTTTCGGTTAATGATACACTATCAATCAATTTCTGTTACATTATCGGTTAATGATACACTATCAGTCAATTTCTGTTACATTATTGGTTAATGATACACTATCAGTCAATTTCTGTTACATTATCAGTTATTGATACACTATCAGTCAATTTTTGTTACATTATCGGTTAGTGATACACTATCAGTCAATTTCTGTTACATTATCGGTTATTGATACACTATCATTCAATTTCTGTTACATTATACATGTACATGTAGGTTATTGATACACTATCGGTCAATTTCTGTTACATATACACTATCAGCCAATTTCTGTTACGTTATCAGTTACTGATTCACTATCAGTCAATTTCTGTTACATTATTGGTTAGTGATACAGTATTGGTCAATATGTGTGACATTATCAGTTGGAAATACATTATCAGTTGGTAAATACATTATCAGGTGTAACAAGCTTACCCAATATGTTTTTTGAAACTGACCGAGTTGCAGATATTTTATTGTACATGTATTTAACAATATGATGAGATGTTATGAAATAAAAAAGAAACAAATTAAAAGGCAAAAAAATGAAGCAACGACGTGATGAAGTTTTTATTCTGTAATTTTATTCTGCGTTTGTGAATCTCTTATATGCTTTTGGCTTGAATGTTGTATAAATTATAGTGTAGTAAATGTTATTACACTATTGGTCAATTATTACATTATAGGTCGTAACCGATAATGTAACAGAAATTGACCGATAGTGTAGTGAATGTTATTACACTATTGGTCAATATTTGTTACATTAGCGGTTAGGACCGATAATGTAGTAAATGTTGCTAAACTATCGGTCAACTGTTATTACATTATAGGTCGTAACCGATAATGTAACAAAAATTAACCAATAGTGTAGTAAATGTTATTACACTATTGGTCAATTATTACATTATAGGTCGTAACCGATAATGTAACAGAAATTGATCGATAGTGTAGTAAATGTTATTACACTGTTGGTCAATATTAGTTATGTAAATATTGTTACATTAGCGGTTAGGACCGATAATGTAAATGTTACTAAACTATCGGTCAACTGTTATTACATTATAGGTCGTAACCAATAATGTAACAGAAATTGACCGATAGTGTAGTAAATGTTATTACACTATCGGTCAATTGTTATTACATTATCGGGCTGTAACCCATAATGTAACAAATATTGACCAATGTGTAATAACATTTACTACACTATCAGTCAATTTTGTGTTACATTATTGGTTAGTGATACAGTATCGGTCAATTTTCTGGGACATCAGTTGGTGATCAGTTGGTTACTACATTATCAGTTGAAACAAGCTGACCGTATTGCAGATATTTTATTGTCTTAAACAATACGATAAGTTATGAAATAAAAAAGACAAATTAAAAAGCAACAAAATGAGGCAAATATGTGGTGCAGTTTTCATTTCTGTAATTTTATTCTGCATTCGTGGATCTTTTACATGTATATAATTTGGGCTTGAATTTTGTATAAATTTGCTCCTGGGTCCAAGAAAATGTCCCTTATTTGTCCCACAGTAACACATGTCTTCTTTAATTACATGTACATAATCATTGCAAAGACTACAATGTAATAACATAAGAGTTCTTGTGTGTATTCTCCATGCAGATGCCCAACAGTAGAATAAAAAAAACAAATGAAATCCATGAATATCTTAACAAGTTAAACCTTTGTTATATATGGGACATAGTGTGCACGAAATCTTCGACTTGCCTTTAATACTACGACACTAATTTTGGACAGTCAATGGCATCCTTGTTTACTGTACACATCGTTCTGTAGTATGTAGATTTATGACTTTGTCTTCCAAAATGTGTTGAAGAATACCCATGGAATTAAACAATACCAATTAATCTTGCGCAATAAATAGAATCAAACCCATAAGCATTGTGTAAGTCTTGAACTATTTTTCCAAGATAAATTGTTTTGGGGGAATTTCAAATGTTTAAATTGTTTTTGGGGAATTTCAAATGTTTTTTTTAATCTTATCCTAGAGTGGTAGGCCACAATAATTTTAAAATAGAAACTCACAAATGCTGGCATATAAATATTCAGGAATATGGGCTTGAAACTAAAAATAAACAGATTTGAAATGTGAAGGAAAATCATTTAAAACATTTATCAAGAAAAAACTTGTGTAATTAGGTAGTTTTGATCGTGGTTTGTCTTTTGGTAGCATAGAAAGCCAACAAAAGTTAAGAAATTGAGATGTGAATGTTCTCTTGCCCTAGAAATAAGTAAGACATCCACTTTCAAAACAAAACAAAAAATACCAAAAAACATGAAAAATTTGAGGCATTCTGGCAAAATGAGACGGAACTAGGCAGAGGTTGAAATGAGGGTTTGCAGGTACATGTATTAGGAAGGAGAACACAATTCTCCTTACAATACTGTTTGTTGCACTTTAATTGGATATTCCGTTGACAAGTTACACGTCAAAAATGTAAAATACTGAGTGAAAGGCTGTTCAAGTTATGAAAATGAAAGATGACAATTGGTTTTCCTTAAAAACCACATTAATTCCACGATTTTTTTAATATTTCTTTAAAATATGTGTAGGAGACATATCAACGATTACAAATCAAGAAAAATCACCCCCGTTTGTTTGTTTGCACATTTCTCCACTATGGCCTGTGCCCAGTTTCGTCTCATTTTGCCAGAATGCCTCACAAATGTGTTCCTCAGTTGTAGATTTTCACCTGAGATTTTGCCCCCCTTCCCTCCGAAATGCAGAAACCGCGATTCCTAGAAGATGCGACTGTGTTACGCATGGCTTGGCGGGCTCCATTGTCATCTATGGGTGAGTCTGAGCGATGAGGGTGAGTTTCTCATTCAGGCCTAGTTGTGTCTCCACGAGGTTGGACAAGTACACTACCATGAGTAGATCCTGAAAATAAAACCACAAAAAAAAATGTCAATTCAAAGAAGTTTAATAATGTAAAGAGGTAAGCTACCATTATGGCATTTCAAATTATAAACACTCATGCTTAATTCAGCAGATGGAGGTTTCCTCTCAGTACAAATTCCAGGGCTGTCCATATTTTGAATAATTTAGTATTCGATTAATCAAAACTGTGTTTGAGATTAAGATATTCAAAAATTCCAGCTGCTGCAACTGCAGAGCGCGCCAGTTAAAAGTAAAATGGAGTATTTCAAAATTTTATATCACTGTCAAGGGCTTTATCCTGCTATAAAAAGGAGAGACGCAATGAACAGCTGTCGACAAAAATGTTTCCGTCGAAAAAAAAAATGGCATCTGACAATAAAATGCTGCAACTTTATGATAAAGTAACATCACAGTCGTGTCTGTGTATGTGCATGACTGTTTGGTTTTCGAATATTCAAAGCGGCAAGAAGCTATTTGAATATTCGGTTGATGATCAAATATTTGGGACAGCCCTGAAATTGTTAAAGCTTTTTCCTCTTTAACCCTTAAATCGAACGTTTCTTCATGGTCTTTTCAAAGTTTAATCAAGCTTCCACGCTGTATTGCCCTCATGTCTTGCTGTGTTGCGTTGAGCACTTTTTTAGGAGTATGAGTACTTTTCCCACAAGTACAAGAATGAGTACACCTCGTGGAGGTGGGGAAACATCCATGTTTCATTATACTCAATGGGTATTCTTTAGTTCGTAGAACAGTTAATGACTTTTATCTGAATTGTTGTGATTTTTTTATTAAAATAGACATAACTTGGGAATGGGGTTTGCAAATTATGTGAAATTTTCACAGAAACTACTAGTCAATAACATGTACTTTATCCAAATGTTATTTTATGAAATGAAGCGATCCACATATATTATAAAATATTTTTGTACTAATTCAGTCCATTTATTTTACTCACCCTGTATAGTGACAAATTATGTATTTTGACAGTATGCAGAAATCACAGAAACACAGAACATTTCCACCAAGTTATTTTTGAAAATACTGTACCTTCATGTTGCTGTTGATGATTCTTTCAAATTCGTCGGGATCCAGTTTGGGAACATTGGCCACCAGGTCCATCAGGAAACGGCCAACCTGGTTGTCGGCTGGGATCTTGCCACTCTGCAAAGGAAATAAGACATTCAATTGAAGCCTGCAGGGAAAACTGGGAAAATCATGGAATCATATGCACATTGACCACTGTGCTCTGGGTAAAACTGGGAATATCCCGGAAAATGCAATCACTATGTGGAACAGCTCTTCATCGGGAAAACTAAATTCTGGTTCTCTCCTTCATCTAAAACCATCTTTTTTCTTCAGTCTGTTTAAAAAATGAAAAACCCCTACACAAATCTGCTAACAGTGTATTTCTCAGAGAACTAACCCTATAAAACTTTCTCAATCCTCCAAAGTCCTCCGGGCGATGTTTGGAGGATTTTGGAGGACTGAGGCTGAATACAACATAAAAGTTTGGAGGATTGTGAAGGATTAAGGGCAAATGGACATTCAGTATTGGCTGATTTTGGAGGATTGAGGATGAATGGTGTTTGAAGGGTTAAGTGGGTTAAGACATTTTTGAAGGAAATTAAACCAACATATGTGATGAGATCAAGCTAAATGAGTCATTTGTCGGGATTTTTTTATTTGGAGATACAGGCCAAATACAGCCACATCATTATATCACTTCATCACATCTCTTGGTGTTCTGACTTCCATAATTTTTGAACTAAAGATGGTACCAGCATGCGGTTTTCACAGCAGTAATGCTGAGATGGTGCTCTTTTCAAATCTGCAATTAAAATTATTTGACCAGGGTCGACAAACGACTCATGTAACTTGATCGCATCACAAATTTGGAACCAGCATCTTGTCTGAATTTAAAAAAAAACATGGCAAAATCCGGTTTTTGCATGACTGACGTCACAAATTACTCCAGAAAATTGTCACTTACAACCAAATCAACCATTTGGGAAGAAATTTCAAGGTAACAATTTGAAGTGACTAGTACTTACAGAAGAAAGGTGGGGTTTGCAAACTGTCAATGAGCCTTTTCGGAGTTCCAACTGCGCATTCATAACCTGTGACAACGCGCATTGTTTGTCTCAAATGGCCTTTGACATCATCGCGCCACTGACTTTACAAAAAGGCTGTTTGTGCATTGTGGGTACTGTCAAAGGGCATTTGAGACAAACAATGTGCGTTGTCACAGGTTACAAATGCGCGCAGTTGGAACTCCGAAAAAGCTTATTCTCACAAATCTGTTTTAGGGTTAGTCACTTCATCCACAAAAGTTTATCCACAAACGTTCTCCCAAGTTGCAGCCTCAAATCAAACTCAAAACTTGAAGAACTATTTCCTCAGTAACACCACACGAAAAAAAAACCCAAAAATCTAGGGAAATTTGCAGATGAGATTGCAAGTGATTTGAGCTCTTACCACGACGTCGTCCACGTATTCCAGTACGATGGCGATCATCTCTTGAAGCTTGACGCAGGATTTACTGACGTGCTGCAGATCGGTGACCGTTTCCATGGTACGACGACCCGAGGCTTGGCCTCGAATTAATGCATCCACTGTAAAATGAAAAAGAGATATATATATTGAAGACAATGTTTCCTTGAAACTTGAATATTAGCATCGACCCCTACTTTTTGACTCAAATTGAAGTATTCATAAGATGGAATTTTGCGTCAGGGTGATGTAAATCAAATTAGGTTTTGCCCTCCACTGACGCAAAATTCCATCTTATAAATAGTTAATGCGGTACCCACTGCTATGTACATCAGATTCGAACCAGCCAACCGATCCCGTTAGCTCGGTGGTTGAGTGGTAAGACATCTGCACTAGAAAGCAGGAGGTTGTGGATTCGAGTCCCACCCGAGTGATTTTTTCCAACTTTCTCTCGGGAGATAACACACTGAGTATACAGTGTTTTTTATATACGTCGGTGAAGGGTAAAACCTCATTTGACAAATTGAAGTAGTAATGCACTTGAAGATGACCATCGGTTTGAACTTCTTGCCGCTGGCCATGCAGGCAAGAACCAATGTAAAACCGGTGTTCTCGTGGTCCGTTGTAGTTATGGTGACCGTAGAGGCTCCCTTCTCAGTGACGGTACGGGTCATGGGCGAGTCCAACGTCATAGGCACTTCATCCATATTGATGATCTTGTTGTTCGTCAACGCCAGCCTTTTGGTGTTCCAGTCCGTGAAGATCCTTGGAGTTGGCCATCAGCTCCTCCCAGTTCTCTGGTAGTCGCTGACCCACGGTGGTTCTTGTGCACACCGACAGCCTGTTTCTCCGCGTGAAGCGATGACACCAGGCTGGACCGACGATGAAGTCAGTGATCCCGCGATCTTTTGCCATCTCCTTCGCTCTCGCCCTGATGACGACGGTACTCAAGCCATGGCCAATCTTGTCAAGAACAAACTGCTTCAGATCTTCCTCCAACTGGGGCCATTGTGGTTTACCACCCCTACGCGCTTTGATCTTAGCAGGTAGCTTTGCCAGCAGTACCTTATCTCTTTTGCAACGCCGAACCATGGACTCATCCACGTTGAACTCTCGTCCCGCTGCTCGGTTACTATTAATTTCAGCATACTCTACAGCCCGTCGTTTCAGCTTGAACCCTGTAACTGTGTGGTTTGGACGCCATTGAGTTCGAAAACAGTAATGGGAAGGTGGAGGATGCGGTTTGTTTTATTGGGCACGCGCCTAGTCTTGCAATCTTAATATAGAGGTTTGGTGCGGTGCGACTTAAGCCCGGTTCATACCCCGCGCGAATGCGAATGCGAATCGAATTTGACGTCATGAAACGTTCGCTGCGAAATTTGCCGAGTTGAAATGTGCTCAACTTTTACGAATACACAGCGCGAATACTTGACACGACGTCACAAATTTGCGTTCGCTCAAGTATGAACTGGGCTTTATACGCCGGGTGGCTTATATTCCGATAATTACGGTGTTTGTTTTACATCTTCAAAACATGTCATTGCACACCTCCTCGATCATATGGCGCAACATACAATGGAGGTGTGCAATGACATCAGGGGTGATCCTGCATTCCTTTAGAAACTTGCAGCTGCAGCACACGCCTTCTGCCCTCGTCTCCAGTGCTGTATCGACATTCTAAAAGTGAGTACTTTTTTTCGTACGGTTTTATATCTCACCCTCATTTACAAAGCTGATGAAACTCGCTCCGTAAAATGTGTCATGCCTTGTTTACATGATGTGAAATTTTGCTTTAAAGAGGTTGTGGAATGCTCGAAGACATTTCCGTCATTTTTCGGGTATACGCATCTTGGAATAGCGTGATACACGGAGTGCGATATGGACCGTGCGACATTGTGCTTAAAAACCCAAGAGATAGTACATATGGGCAATTCCACGGTTACTCACGTTACATTTTCCTAGCGTGAGTAACCGATTTTGTGCATCTTGTTTATCATACATAACACATTTTTCTGGATGTCATCTTTGGTGCTTAGGTAGGTCTAGGTCTACGCTATCTACCATGGGGATAACAGTTATCAAACCTTTTCAGTAAGGTAATTACAACCCAAGGAAACTCAAAAGTACATCAAAAATGTAACGTGAGTAACCGTGAAATTGCCCCTACATGTACATGTATGATCACTTTTGGTACATTTTCTGAAAAACATACATAAGTGCACACAAAAATTAATTTGTAGGGCATTCCTGCAACCGTACTTTATTTGGGCAGCGCAAAATGAAATACTCATTTTAATACTGATTGTGTGTTTTGTTTTGTGGCGAATCGGCTTCGACAACCAATCCCTGCCCGTGTATAACCTATTTGTCCAAAACCTCTTTTTACAAGCTCTAAGAGATTGCTCAAACACTGGTGGCTTATAATGTACGATCCCACAGAATCAAAATGGAAACGGGACTCACATCCGACCCTCTCAGGTTGATGGCACACTGGCTTCATCTTGATGGGTGTAAAGACGGTCCCCTTGGACTTGTCTGGAACGCCCATGGATTGCCTGCAGGAAAAAAAGAACCATTCCAGATGTAATACGCAACTCCCCGGCACCCTATTTCACAAAGTGCTGCGACACGTCGCAACCTGACTCACGACGTTTAAACGGACACTGGGTCCTGGAACAGCCCAATTCGGCTACAAAACGCACTTTGAACAAGATGATAATAATCAGAAATAACATTAAATAGTAGGATATACACATCCACACAACTATCCTTCCAAAACTGGGCGTTTTTGTGTTATTCCTGTATTATGCGTGCGAGAACGAATTTCGGGGTCCACTTTTGCGACCCCATAAATTCGAGCTGTTTGGATGCTAGCTGTGATTTCATTCGTAAAGTGTTCGCCTTTTGCGGACGTTGGAAAAACCACTTTTTTTTGCATTGGTGATTAGTCACCGCTGTTCCCGAGACACACAACGTGTATATCGCACACTGAGAACGATACAAACAACGTATTCGTTCTCCGTCGTGTCTGATGTAAACAAGCGTGTTTTTTCGTCTTTTCTCGGGAAGGGTAAGACATTAGGTTGGTTGCTTTCAACCAGATGTTCGAAATAGGCTAAGTAAACAATCCAAAACATGAAATTTTCAGGGATTTCAGGACCTAGTGCCCCTTTAACACGTCATAATTCACGACGCGTAGTATCATCCATTTCACGAAACTTGCGATGTGTTGAATGCGTCGTAAGTTCCTTGACATCGGCATAAACACGTCGCAAGTTACGACGTGTCTAGTGGTAATCTGAAAATAAGAAGAGTCCTTTTCTCAGCCAGTTTTTATGCCATAAACATTCCATAAACGAGATTATAATACCAAGACATTGTGTGTAAAGTTGTTAATAGAAAACTCATTGAAAATCATGAATTAGCCAGGAATATTGCAGTTGAAATTTCAAAGTAGCTATACAGTCCCCTGAGAGCTTGTTTTCCTTTAAAATTGCACCACACATCCATTATTTTGTTTCACATTTAAAAAATTTTTCTAGAGGAGATCGGACAACTCTTTGTTAAATATCAGACGACTATTTACTGTACGCTGAATAAATACATAAAACAGTCACCGAGCTGTGCTATAAATACACCTACACCTAATCGCACTTACGACGTGTTTTGTGAAATGGATCGCAGGACGTGTCGCAGCTGCGACGCATCGTAGAGATACGACGCGTCGCAGAGATACGACGCGTCGCAGTGCTGCGATGCATCGTACGTTACGATGAGTTTCTTGAAATCGACCCCAGGCCTTTTTGCTAGGACGCAACCTTAATCCAAAAAAATCCTCCAACTGCCTCCATGCAAAAATCGCTTACAGCCTCAATCCTCCAAAATCATCCGTTATTTCTTGAAGGTGGTCCTTGGAGGGGTGACCACTGCCGCAATCCTGCAAAATCCTCCAGCAATCACTGTCAATATGTTGAGGCAGAGCCAGTGACATCCTGGAGCAGTGTGGAGGATTTCAAGCTTAATCTAAGCCTAAATTTATGCACGGCTGAGCATCAACAACACAAGGTCCGGCCCAGTGCATCCTCCAAAATCATCCACACATTGTTGCCATACAGCTTCAATCCTGCCAAATCCGCCATTTTGCAAAGAGGATTTGGGGGGATATGGGAAGGTTCGGGTTAACGCCAAAATAAAGGGTAGATCGGGATAATTAAAACATTTGCAATATACATGTAGTTTGCACATATATATTGTCAAAATGTTGCACTAACTCCCTAGGCCTTTTTGCTAGGATGTCGTCTCAATCCTGCAAAATCCTCCAATTGGCCTCATGGAAAAATAGCATATGCCTCAATCCTGCAAATTCCTCTGCTATTTTTTGAATATGGTCCATGGAGGGATGACCACTGCCTAAATCCTGTAAAATCCTCCGGCCATGACTGTCAATAGGTTGAGGCAGAGGCAGTGACATCCTGGAGCAGTGCGGCGGATGTATAATCAAGGACTAAATTTATGCACGGCTGAGCATAAACAACACAAGGTCCGGCCCAAGACCTTGACACAGTGCGTACTCCGAAATCAGCAACGCACTTTGGCCATGTAACCTCAATCCTGCAAATTCCTCCAATTTGCAAAAAGGATTTTGGAGGATTCAGGGCGGTTAGGGTTAATATAAACTCGTTTACCTAATCCAGACTTTGATGGACATCTTGAAGTCAGTCAGGGTGGTGTCTATAGTCAGATGGACTGGGTTGACGCATTCCCTGGAGTAGTACTCATGGATCAGCAGGGAGTGGTCAGTGATGTCTGGACCTGTCGCGTACCTGCGTGGAGAGCAGAATTCAATTTTTTCATATCACGATTCTGGTTCTTATATAGCGCTTTCAAAGATCAAAGCGCTTTACATCATTATTACCCCTGTTCATTGGGCCAATTAACCCTATCCCCCACTGGGTATTTTCTAGGCATCCTACAAATTATGCAACAGAATGCAGTAAACAAATACATGTCAGCCTAGGTACCAAGTACTGGTACCTACCCTGCCAAATGCAACAGAATGCAGGGAACTAATACATGCCAGCCTAGGTACCAAGTACTTGTACCTACACATGTACCCTGCCAAATGCAACGGAATGCAGTGAACTAATACATGTCAGCCTAGGTACCAAGTATTGGTACCTACCCTGCCAAATGCAACGGAATGCAGTGAACTAATACATGTCAGCCTAGGTACCAAGTACTTGTACCTACACATGTACCCTGCCAAATGCAACGGAATGCAGTAAACTAATGCATGCCAGCCTTGGTGCCAAGAACCTACCCTGCCAAATGCAACGGAATGCAGAAATGGAATGGATCAGGGGTGGAATGCATCAGACCTGGACTCTGCTAAATGCAACAACTTGCAACAACTTCGAACAACTTGCAACAACTTTTTACCACTAGTGGATTCCGCCCCCTAAGATCTCGGCAATTTCGAGTGACAAATTTTTTTTAAAAATCAGTACATGCATAGAGCAACTCTTCCTAAACACACCCAAGAAATTTCATGACTATAGGTTAAAGGAGTTTGGAATTATGGCTAATTAATCATTCATATGTACGAATGGCAATTCTGCTCTGAGTACACGACGTCGTGAAAATTTAGTTTTCATGGCGCCGGAAAAATTTTGGCTACGCGGCAACCCGTGGTCCGATTTTTATGTTTTTGGTATCAAAAGATGCGCAAAGCTCGAAGCTAAAAAGTCATAACAGCTCGGGTCGCGAAAAAATTTTTTTTAGAGGCTATCGCGGAAAATGTTGAGGGGGGAGGGGTGGATTCCGCCCTCCCCCGGCCCTTTCAGGGTTAATGCTAATCACAGAATGTTGCGTTATTTCCGTCTCTACTCTGTGCTTACAGTGCTAGCAGAAACAGTCTGCACTAAACCCTGTTAAGAACAGAATTCTTGATTACAGGATATGTGCATGCACACAAGCCAAACTTCCTTGCTAACCTGTGAAATACGCCAACTGCATGTTGCAAAATATTCTGCTCAAGTTAACAGGGAATTTGTGTTTAACCAGTCCACGCCGGGATTATTTTGGTAAGAACGGAATGAGGCGCTGGATTAATTTTCACTCGACCTCAAGCCAGGCGGGTTGAAGCCATCACCCTTGAAGCAGCACACTCATATTTCAGGCCTCACTCGCTGCGAGCGGGTCACAGACAGGTATTTCCGGCCTCACTACCTGCGTGTTTATCTGTCATCCGTTCCAAATACCGCAAAACTTTTGCGTGCTCTGGCGCAAACTGGTTAACCCTTTCATGCCCACATTGTTTATTGACTTGACTCTCCCCAGGACCAACTTGTTTGCTCAGTCATGCAGAAATCACTAGAGCGTGAACAAAATGAGCACGAGTCCAAAACTCACTTTTTTCAACCCAGATTTTCACTGCCAAGGAGTAATTAAAATCATAGGTGTTGTGTATAAAGTTTGTTCCTTGAACCATACTCTTTTATGTGATGTAAAAATGAAGTCCATACGTGCAAATATAAGAAAGTTATGCCTTTTTATTCATCTGGTCCCAATTATCAAACTGCAAGCCATTTCACCACATGACCGAATGGCACTCCATACCTCAAATTGTGCGTGGATACTTCTGAAGCACTTTTCTCATTTTTTTGTAATGGTAACACTATGAATAAACCACACCAATAGAAAGATCCGAAAACACTCTTTCAGCTGGTATATAGTTGATGTATGGGCGGCCAAACATATCAACATGCTGCCTTTCTGAAAAGTAGTGAATATATCTGTGCTGAGGGTGTTTTGTGTGTGGTTTCCTGGTCGACTAAAATCGCCGATGGGAACCAGCAGGGAGGTACTTGTTGTCGACAAAAGTCGCCCATGGTAAGGAAAGGGTTAATTGTAAGCAGAGCTACACAATTTAGACCCGGTCTGTCATAATTACCAGCCGACGATGACCTCATTGGCGTTCACTTTCTTCTGTAGATCGTACATGTTCTTAGCAAACTCCATATCCACTGCCACCTGAAACCAAATCATGATAAACATTTGGAGTTTTAGTGAGGGATTACATGCTTGGCGGGTTTTAAACAAATATGTTTACAACCACTGGAGGGCCTGGACACTTGTGCTGGGGACATTATCCAATTTTTAACGTAATTGTTTAACACCGTTATAAGATGGTTTAACACCGGCCAAGCACATATTTATTCCCTTTCATACAGTGGAACGTCGCTATACCGAACACCGCTATACCGAACATTCAGCGATATACCGAACATCGTCCTTGGCTCCCAATATTTTTTTGTACAAAATGTACCGAACACTGTTGCTGAAAAAATTTGAACAGAAGAGCGACAAGTGACAATTATTTGCCCAAGGAATGGAAGGTAAAAGACACCTGTGTTATTTATTGAAAAGTGAGCACCGGCAGCTTGACTGCTATTAACTCTTTCGCTACGGCGAGCCGCTGACGGCGGCTCATACAAATTGTACAGGTCGTACGGAGAGCCGCTGGCAGCGGCTCGGTTGCGTCGCTATGAATAAACAGGATGTCCCCATGACGTGTGCCTTATCTACATAATTTATATCGTATAACCTCTGACCCTAGTTTGAGCCGCTGCCAGCGGCTCTCCGTCTGGCCGGGGTGCGCTGCAGGTTATTGTGAGCAGTTTGTTTACGGAGATACATTTAAAGATGGCGGCGCCCACATCGACGCTCGGCGGAATTTCCAGCGATTAATTACGTCCAGTTGGGGCAAAAAAGGTAAATTAAATTCCGTAGCGAAAGAGTTAAGAACGTTTTCTGTGGATCCTGTGATGTTGTTATGGCGGCATTCAACTGTATTCCTTTTGATCAAAAAGTCAAAAACAAGTCCAAAAAATTAAAAACATTTCCAAGGATTTTTTTCAACAATTTTAATTCATGTAAAATCAATGTTTATGGTATGTGCCTCTCCCAAGTAGTACTAAAAATCTCCTTATTGGCGCACGCTTGGCGCGTACTGCGCAATGTGCCGCTGCTGGTGTAGTGTGAATTTGGGACTCTATGAAATACGGACTCGTTGGTAATATTTGCCCGTGCCTATTGAAAACTGTGAACGTTCAACCAATAAAAGGGTAAAAGGGACCAGATTTCATAGGAGTCCAAGTTTCATGTGAAAGCAGGAAAAGTGCTTTAACCCTAACCCCCTAGGCCCTTGTTGCTTACAACCATCCTCAATCCTCCAAAAGCCTCCAAAATTTTGCAAATCCGCCTAAATTTTTCACAATCATCAGACAGTCCTGCCTCAAAATGCATTCATCCTCAATCCTCCAAAATCCTCTTGTGCTTCAACCACCATTCATCCTCAATCCTCCAAAATCCTCATGTGCTTCAATCACCATTCATCCTCAATCCTCCAGAATCCTCATTTGATTCAATCAACATTCATCCTCAATCCTCTAGAATCCTCCAAAACCGCCAGGAGGATTTTGGAGGAGTGAGGTGGGTTAGGGCTAAGACCAGCCAGCCGGTATTTTATCAACTGTTTAAGACCGGTCACGTGACAGGCTCTCGACGAATAGGAATGGGTAATCTGTCTCAGGTAGAATACAGGGCGAGTAAAAGAAAACAAAACCCAAGTGAAGTTTCGCATTCTGTAGCCCTTTCAAAATCCAGGATATAAAAGCCCAATTCAGGAGCTTTCTTTTCAGTACACTGTACAAGAATCACTCAAATCACTCACGTACTTTTCAAGTTACGGAATTTCAAATCGCAACCATGAATCACAAAAAAAGTGTGCATTCTTTCAGCAAAAATGGCAAAACGAAAACAGTTCACACACATCCCTATGTGATTTGTTATTTCGATTTGCTGAAAGAATACTTACCTTTTCGTGATCCATGAACAGAACTTTAAAACGGTGGTTGTGTTTAAAATTCTGTAACTTGAAAAGTACATGAGTGATTTGAATGATTCTTGTAATAAAAGAAAGCTTATGAGTTTGGCATTTGTATCCTAGAGTTTGAAAGTTTTACATGAATAACTTCACTAAAACAATGGTCCGACATTTGGGTTTCGGGGTTTTTTTTTACTAACCCTGTACAGGATCAATGATAACCTACGTACCTCGTCTTCTGACTCATTGTGGGGAACACAGAAGCAGTTTGTGATTTCTACAACTCCCTGAATGTTGGTACCTGCAACAGAAAAGAGAGGCAACTGAAAACACATGAGGCTAAAAAAAATATTAACGTTAGGGAACACTCAGCAGATTTTGTCTCTTTGTGGCCAATTTTGGGACGCCACCATTTTCAAATTTTGGACTCCATTTCAAGACACCGAAATTGTTCAAAAACATTCAACAGCAAGCATTTTGAAGGTAAAAGTAGAGGTATTTAAAGGGAATGTACATGTACATCATTGGCTTTTGCTGTAATTTTTAGAAATGAACTATTGGAGGGGTTAGTATAATAGATCAAATATTGTTACACTAACTTGTTTGAAATGTTGTGTTCGAAAATGCAGGAAAAACCAAGAAAAACAAAAATGTTTAAGCAGTCTGGTTCCCTGACAGCCTCAAGATGAAATAGATCAATATTTATAGGTGGCGGAAAATTGTAAGGTAAGGGAACCAGTCTAGCCTACCTGCACCCGTTCATAAACATCTAACCAATGGCAAACAAAATTTGGACTGAAAAAATGGTAAATTTGGATCAGTAGTTGAAAAATAGTCAGGTTTTTCCAACGGTGGTCGGCCGACCACCATTGTAAATGTATACGAAAAAACTATTTTCTTGAAAATGACTTCACACCAGGTGCCATAATTTTACAGAATGCTTTAGACTGTCATTTATCAACATCCTAATAAAGTTTTTCATAAAAACTTGGTAGTTTTATTTTTCGATGTTTGCAAATGTTGTATATATTCCCTTTAACTGAACAAATTTGAAGTTTGTCAACAAAGAAGTTTGGTGTGTATGCTTCTAAAGCGTAAATAAACTACAAATATAGTCTAAATGTGAAAAATCAAATTTAACCAAGTTCTACATGTAAATTTTTGGGCACAAGGTACGTTTTGCACATGTTCCAAGTGTGGCCCTTATTTACGGAGGTAGTCCTGTATCAAAATTGACCACATTTTTTTTATGGGGCTCATGTTTATATAAAATTATTATTGGTTCCCTATTAAGTGGTGTTCCCTAACGTGGCGCACTTCGACATTTACCCTGACTTTCCACATCAGTGTTGCTAAACCTCTTTGTTGACAAACTCAGTGAAATACTGGTACATTATTAATGCTTGCTATTTAACCTCTGTGAACAATTTCGGTTTCATGAAATTTAATCTGAAATTCAAAAACGGTGGTGTCTGGAAGTTGGGCACAAATCGGCTGAGTGTTCCCCAACATGGCGCACTTGAATAAATCTCGGAAAATTCCAAATTAACATTTAAGAATTTCTGTAAAGATGATGAATTCTGATAAACAATTATTATCTCTACTTTCATACCCAACTAGAAGCTCCTTGTCAGCAAATTATTTTCTATTTTTGGGAGACATTTTTAAAACCTTCACTGTGCACTTCGAAATAAATCGGAAAATCAAGCCAAGGCCAAAAAAAAAATAAGTCGGTCTCTGGTCAGCACGCGCGTCGATTTTAATCATGCGCGTCCATCTTTTTTTTTCCCAAAATGTTCCGCGATAGCTCCAACAGCGCCCTCTATTGCCGCACCTCCTCAATTTTTTTTTACCACAGAGCACCAAGGAATAGGAAATTGCACCAAGGCAAATGATCGAAAGCACCAAGGCAAATTATGGAGGACAACAATGTACATGAGGACACCAAAAAAGCAAAATAGTACCCACCTTGTCTGTACAATCCAAGCTTGAAGAAGAAAAAAAAAAAAGCCGCGTGGCCGCGTCAATTCCGGAACTTTGGTCTGACCAGAGACCGAATATTTTTTTTTTTTGGCCTAAAATAACTTTTTCTTTTAACTTTGTAACTTTGCTAAGTACAGCGAATGCACTTGTCTTCTCATCAATGATCAGAATGGGAAGGGAGGGCGCTTGTACGTCGGGGCACGGAGCCACGGAGTCGCGGAGCCGCGGAGTCGCAGAGACTAGTCGCGGGGCACTGGAGACGCGGAGTCGCAGAGATGCGTGCCGCCGATAGAGGTCGCAATTCTCGGCGGTATTTTTTACAAAGGAAGGTTAAGGGAGGAGGACGACGGGGCACTGGAGTCGCGGAGACGCGGAGTCGTGGAGTCAGGGAGTCGCGGAGTCAGGGAGACGTGGAGACGCGGAGTCGCAGAGTCAGGGAGTCGCGGAGTCAGGGAGACACGGAGTTCGGCGCCGCAGATAGAGGGCGCAATTCTCGGCGGTATTTTTTAGAGAACGAAGCATCCATATCCATTGTTAATTTCCTCGCAAAGGAAGGTAGGAGGGCGACGGGGCACTGGAGTCGCGGAGGCGCGGAGTCAGGGAGGCGCGGAGTCAGGGAGACGCGGAGTCAGGGAGACGCGGAGTCGTGGAGTCGCAGAGACGTGCGCCGCCGATAGAGGGCGCAATTCTCGGCGGTAGTTTTTAGAGAACGAAGCATCCATATCCATTGTTAATTTCCTCGCAAAGGAAGGTAGGAGGGCGACGGGGCACTGGAGTCGCGGAGGCGCAATTCTCGGAGGTAGGTCGACTGCGGCTCCACGCCTCCACGCAGCCGTACGGAGGCGCGGATGTAGAGTGAAGTGGCCCTGCATTCTATAGTTGTACCGCCACTTTTTTCTTCATATCGTCTCAATGAAGGTCATTCATTGAAAAAAATGATGATAAAACAGGAATCTGGGACTTTGAGAAACATTTCCAATGTTGATGATAGGAAATACTTCGAGCTCCATAGACTTTGTACACAACCGCTGAACATTCTTCCCTCGGTCATGTCGGTGCATATGGTACGGTAAAAACTAAAATTAAACAAAAATTATATTTTTAACTGGTGATATAATAAATCCATACCTAGGAGAGTTCCGATGACTCTAGCATTTTCGTCATTCCTTCTTTCGTAAGAATCTACAATATTGAAAAGAACTACAGGATGCACATGGCATTCTCTCGGTAAAACTGCCGCCATGTTGAGTGTGTGCCGTTTAACATATTAACAGCGCCCTCTAGAAAAAAAGAAACATCTTAATGAGCGACGTTTTTAAAACTTCGGCCTTGCTTCAGGAGTCGTCATGACTGTACAGCACAGCTGAAACGAAGCCGACGTTATGAAAACACCTCAAATGCGCTGCTCATTAAAGTTTTTTAGAGGGCGCTATATGTAATGAATATTCATTTTATGTAAGTAAGTAACAAATCATGTCAGGCCTTTCATAGAAACATTGACTTACTCGATCTATTCTTATTTTTGATTAGTCCACCTGTCCCGTGACCATGACGACACCTTGTTTATGGTGAAAGCATGGAGCAAGGGATACCGGTTTGTTTACGGAAGTAGTGTTGGCTAAGTTTGTGTTTTGCACGCGTTTTTGGTTCACTGCAGTCAGTTTTTGCAGTAACTTTTGAGACAAAATGGCAGCGCATTTTAGTGCAAATCAGGTAGGAAACAAGTTTATGGGCTTGATTTGAACATTATGAAATTAAAAAAACAAATAAGTGCCCAGTTAACTGGGGATAAAAATGGAAGTAAATTTCGCAAGAAAAGTAGAAAATCGAGTCGACCCAAATCTTACAAATCTGATTTTTTTTTTTCATAATTTTTCTAAAAATAGGCCTACGTGATTTCTTACTTTTTGTTTCAATCTTATCGGTTATCCAACTTTTTTTTTTACTTAAAGTATAGCTGGGGCCCATAGGCTTGCACTAATTTCGCTTTCTTATTCATGGCTTTGAAGGATTTATTTTAAAGGGAAGTGCAATTAGTCACTGCAATATTAAACATTCTTACAAATTCTCTCGATGGACGACTTCCATAAAAATAGAAGCAGGTGTTTTTTTTATGTCAAACAACTCGACCGTTGAGACGGGTCCTACCGGTTGAGACAATTAACTCGACCGTTGAGACAACTCCACCCTTGAGACAACTCCACCCTTGAGACAACTCCACCCTTGAGACAACTCCACCCTTGAGACAACTCCACCCTTGAGACAACTCGACTCGGGACAACTCGACCGTTGCGACAACTCGGGACAACTTTACCATTGACACAAAAAACAAGTCGACTCTCTGGAAAAGCAACGCCGTGCCTTAGGTCAGATGTATGACAATAGGCCTAATTGCATTCAAACTGAAGCCATTTTACAAGTGGACTTTGCATTGGAGACAACAACGACTGTGGGAGCGGCGCGCGTGGTATTTTCCACGTAGCTAGAGTGCCCGTGAATGTTTGGGAATTTGCTAAAATTAAATAAACTAAAATAAACCCACCCCGTCCAGCAACACCAGCCCCATCAACCCGGCCCGATACGACCGAGCCAAGCAGGCTACCCCGAACCCGTACTCAACACCCGTGGCTGGACACAGCAACAAAATCCCCATGGCAAATTTTTTTTGTTTTGTTTCCCCATCCCGAACCCGTCCGCCAAATGCTCTCTAGACTCATTCTCTCTCAGCTTGGCAAACCCCAGCATATTGGAGCCCCGGCCGAGCCAAACCCAATTGTATCCCGTCAAGCAACCCCAACCCAATGATCAAACCCGAAAACGGCGAAAAAATCCCCGGTATGGCCAAAAAAAAAAAGTCTCCGGTTTCTGGTATGGAGCTTGCCCCAAAAGTGGTGCGGTGACGCGGCTTTTTTTTTTTTTTACCTTTTTTGGGGGGGGGGGGGGGGCTTCAAATGTCGGCTGATGACTGCAAATGGTACCCGACTAAACTTAGTGCAAATATATGGGAGTCCAGAGAGGCCACATAAATCTTATTCTCGATCATAACCCAATCTAAAAACACGTTAAAGTTGTGCAGCAGCAGGATTCTAGTCAAACCAGTGAGTTTGGCGGTTTTGAGACATCATCTTGTATTGAAAAAAAACCTTTTTCATTTTGCCGACGCGCATGGCTGCGGCGACGCGGGTGCATACCAGAAACCGGAGACTTTTTTTTTTGCCTATAGGGTCACTATTTACAAAAATTCCCTACTAAACTATCCCCCGAAAAATTGCGAGTCGACTTGTCTCAACGCAAACGGGTGACTTGTCTTTCCATTTACTGCACATACGGTCGAGTTGTCTCAACTGTCGAGTTGTCTCAACGGTCGACTTGTCTCAACTGTCGAGTTGTCTCAATGATCGAGCTGTCCTGAGTCGAGTTGTCTCAACGGTCCAGTTGTCTGACCACCGTTTGTTTACGTAGTGGCTAGCTTGAGTAACTCCAGCTGACATGCTCATTAGGTATTCACATGTGACTTCCTGATGAGCATGTCAGCTGGAGTTACTCAGCTACATAGTGGCCATCATTACGGCAGAACGCGATTTCAACTGCTATCGTCGTGGAATTGCAAAATCACCATCGTGAATCTATATGACATTTGTAACTACCTATACCACCAGAATTCTTCGGTAGCTCGAGTGGTTAAACACTCGGAGATGGGGATCCGGGTTCAAATCCGTTGCCACGCTGTAAATGTGTTTTATTAAAAACAATTATAGGCCTAATACATGTAGTTTCCTTTAATCTCATGTTTTTAATCAAATCGTTCTTTTTATTTGTAATTTACCAACATCCTAGTACTTGTATTTCGTAAACATTTGGTACTTTTGTTTTCCGATGTTTGCAAATGTTGTATTCCCTTTTACTTTTTTTAGGCAAAAATAGCAGTGTAGTATTCAAGCCTGTCATATTAAAGTCTTTTTATAAAGCCAATCACAAGTAACAGGATGAACAATGACAAAGGACTGCTTTTGTAACAGTTCATTTGAAAAGCTAGTGACTTGACTTGAGATTGAAGGACTTGTGATGGACTTGTGATGGACTTGTGATGGACTTGTGGAGGACTTGTGGAGGACTTGTGATGGACATGTGATGGACTTGTGATGGACTTGTGATGGACTTGTGATGTGATGGACTTGTGATGGACATGTGATGGACTTGTGATGGACTTGTGATGGACTTGTGATGTGATGGACTTGTGATGGACTTGTGAGGACTTGTGATGGACTTGTGACTGGACTTGTGAGGACTTGTGATGGACTTGTGATGGACCTGTGATGTGATGGACTTGTGACTGGACTTGTGAGGACTTGTGATGGACTTGTGATGGACTTGTGATGGACTTGTGAGGACTTGTGATGGACTTGTGAGGACTTGTGATGGACTTGTGATGGACTTGTGATGGACTTGTGATGGACTTGTGACGGACTTGTGACGGATTTGTGACGGACTTGTGATGGACTTGTGATGGACTTGTGAGGACTTGTGATGGACTTGTGATGGACTTGTGATGGACTTGTGATGGACTTGTGATGGACTTGTGATGGACTTGTAATGGACTTGTGATGGACTTGTGATGGACTTGTGATGGACTTGTGAAGGACTTGTGATGGACTTGTGACGGACTTGTGACGGACTTGTGATGGACCTGTGAGGACTTGTGAGGACTTGTGATGGACTTGTGAGGACTTGTGATGGACTTGTGACGGACTTGTGACGGACTTGTGACGGACTTGTGACGGACTTGTGATGGACCTGTGAGGACTTGTGAGGACTTGTGATGGACTTGTGAGGACTTGTGACGGACTTGTGACGGACTTGTGACGGACCTGTGATGGACCTGTGAGGACTTGTGATGGACTTGTGAGGACTTGTGATGGACTTGTGATGGACTTGTGATAGACTTGTGATGGACTTGCGAGGACTTGTGATGGACTTGTGATGGACTTGTGATGGACTTGTGATGGACTTGTGATGGATTTGTGATGGACTTGTGATGGACTTGTGATGGACTTGCAGGGACTCGAATACAACACTGCAAAACAGTCCGTTCCAATTTGAATGAAGCCTATAAAAAGAAACCGTAATTATTTTCACTAACATGCAGTGTACTTTCCTATTGCATTTACAGTACGAGCAAGCGTTCGACAGCAAGAGACTCCAAAATTGGCAGCTCCCACATACATATAAAGAGGTGAGACTGATGAATTGGATCTATACTTTCTTTTTCTGTCCAATCCAGGAGATCAAAGACCAGGGCCCAATTTTATGGCGCTGCTAAGCACACGATATGTCTATTTCATGGAGACCGTAAGCATAACTTGGAGACCGTAAGCATAAGCACAGCAAAAGGCACGCTTACTTCAGAGGAAAAATTTGCTCAACTTAGTGACGTACATGTAACAATAGAAATCTCCATGCACGCGGCGCCCGTTAGCACTTTCTGCTATGCTAAGCACAACTTTTCTGCTAACTGGTAAGCAGTGTCGTGAAATTGGGCCCTGGGCCCAATTTTAAGGTGCTGCTAAGCACACATTTTTTCTGCTAACATACAACAGTGCCTCCATCTATTTCACTGAGACCTTATCTCCCCTCGCCCTTTCCCCATCTATTTCACGGAGACCAGAGGGTATCGATCAGGTTGGCGTAACGACCCACACACGTTCCTCGCCTTCCACTGCTCCACTGATCGAGTCCAAGTCTTCGACTTGAGTGATACAACTATCTTTGATACAATATACTTCCAAATTTGCATGCTAATTGTTTCAACCTCTTCTTCATCCAGAGGCCGTCGCGTTATGAGGGCTTCACCCAAATCATCGCCAACGACCGGGGTCACCTCCTGGAAGGGGTGCCCAAGTCCACAGAGAACCCATGGGGGAAGTTTGTGGGCACCTGGGACATGCCCCTCAATGTTCCCGGCAACGTGACCACGTTCATGGCCCGCTCAGACCCGGCCGCCAGGACCATCGTCCGGGGACGGATGGAGCATGCGGAGTTCATGAGGCAGGCCGCTGGCTCTCCCGTCAAGCAAGCCCAAAAGGTGAGTTGATCGACTGACAAGTCAGACAGAAACAAGGGAGCAACTCTTTTAAAACATGGAAGGGTTCCATTCTGTTTTTGGTCTTGGCCTTGATGACAGAGTTGGTATTATCTTAAGTCATCGCATCAGTGCAACAAGGTTGTAACTCGATTCTGCAACAAAGTCATATCGCTTGCCAATACGCGTTTCACGTAATACGCGTTTCACGTAAATGACGTCCCACGCCATTTTAGAAGATATGACCTTGTTGCACAAACACAGTGACGTTGTCTTTAAACAAACTTTCTTTATCCTGATCGGTCAATCCGTCGTGAATACGCTCCGTGCAACAAGGTCGTATCTTGCGTATCGCGACGTCCATTGACTTTGTGTGTACATTCGGGTTATTTAAAGCGAAGTACGACCTTTTGACATTGAAACTCCCGTTTCACGTACATGACGTCCCACGCCATTTTAGGAGATACAACCTTGTTGCACGCACACAACAAAGTTGTTTTCAAGCAAAAATCCTCGATCCTGATTGGTTGATCCATGGCAACGAGAGTGTGGTATTATCCCAGGTACCACGGTCCATATCGCGCTCCGCGCATCACGCTATTCTAAGATGCGCAAACCATTCCTCTTGAATGAACACACGATAGGATAATCATCAACAAATTTGTGTACAGTGTGCGTATTCCATCTGTACTGTTTGTCAAGCTTGCTTGAAGATAAAATCATTAACTGCCCCTCGAAAGCACAATTTACGCCCCTCTCGCAACATTAAAACTGTTCCCCTCTCAAGATGGAAAATTTGCCTTTAAAAAAAAAATAGTGCTCCTCACGTGAATAAAATGGTCACCGAACTGGCCATCAATAGCAACAGTGATAAAAAAAATGGTCCCTTTGCATAGGCCTTACTAGTCTAATTCAAGGGCGAACCCAGAGAGGGCCATCTCCAGTAAAAAAATCACCTTATTTGAGAACAGTACGGCTATATTGAGACCATTTCAGGAATAGGCCTACACTGTACATTTTCTGAGTAAGGCCAAAAAAAAAAAATATTCGGTCTCTGGTCAGACCAAAGTTCTGGAATTGACGCGGCCACGCGGCTTTTTTTTTTTTGGCTTTTTTTTTTTTCTTCAAGTTTGGATTGTACAGACAAGGTGGTGTCGTGTACTATTTTGCTTTTTTGGTGTCCTCATGTACATTGGTGTCCTCCATAATTTGCCTTGGTGCTTTCGATCATTTGCCTTGGTGCAATTTCCCATTCCTTGGTGCTCTTTGGTAAAAAAAAAAAATGAGGAAATGCGGAAATAGAGGGCGCTGTTGGAGCTACCGCGGAACATTTTGGAAAAAAAAAAGATCGACGCGCATGATTAAAATCGACGCGCGCGCTGACCAGAGACCGACTTATTTTTTTTTTGGCCTAAGGGAATTAAGATTTTTAAAACTTTTAACGCAAACATTATTAAAAGTGTATTTCAAATCCAATGTTGTTAGTATTTTGTTCTGGGTAACATGTATTCCTTGCAATGTGGATGAAAATAGTTTCACAATTTTCTCCTCTTTCACACCGACGAAAGCCTTTTTTTCTGAGCAAGTGCACCTATTTGGTGATCCCCCCCCCCCCCCCCCCCCCCCGGTTTGAAAAGCGTTCTGCCGCCGCTGACAGAGAACACGTGAATTCAGCCAGTGTCGTCAGCGTATTTATCTTCTTTGTTTCTCCTGCTTTCTCCAGGCACCAAGTCCCAGGAAGGCCTCTCCCAGTCCACCCAAGACCCCTCCTCCTTCTAAATCACCCCAAGACAGACCCCATAGACCATCGCCGGCAGAAAACGTGGAAAATGCCTCCGCTTCTCCAAGACCGGCATCGAAATCGCCGCAACCAGAGGCAAATTAACACATTTCTTTTGTATAAATCCACCTGACCAAGTCCAGAAATTGTTTTTTTAACCGTCGTAAACAGAAGTGTGAATAAGGAGGAAGGAAATTTTGGACAGAATGTTGCATGCGGACGCCACTTTTTTCATCATATAATATCATCTCAGTGAAGGTCAGTCATTGCAAAATTGTTGAAAAGACACATGAATCTGGGACTGAGAAACTTTTCCAATTTTGTTAGGAAATACTTTGAAAAAATGCGCTCAATTCACACGATTCACAATGCAGTGCGCCAACAAGAGTTTGCCATGGAGAGTCCATTTTACAAGTTTACAGTCGACAAAACACAGCCCAGTTAAATAAGGGTCATTAGACAACTTGAGCTAATTTGTTATAGATTGAGGCATAGCGTTCTGCCGCCATACAAAAATCCCCATATGTGATGCAATCAAGCTACATGAGTCGTTTGTCGGGAACTTTCATTTGGAGATACAGGCCAAAATAGGGCCACTTCATCACATCACTTCATCATATCTCTTGACGTTTCAACTTCCATAATTTTTGAACTAAAGATGGTATCAACATGCGGTTTTCACAGCAGTAATGCTGAGATTGTGCTCTTTTCAAATCTGTACTAAAAAAAATTTGACCGGGGTCGACAAACGACTCATTTAGCTTGATCGCATCACATATTGAATAATCACAAGAAAAAAAGGGCAAATATATACTCCAATCATACACTTACGAAACTACTGACAGGACAAACTAACAATTTCAAATGTCCCTCACTGCAAAATTGTCGACCATCTCCCACAATGCACTGGGAACAATTAACTCTCTGTTGCAAACTCTTGATGTTGCACTTCATTGTGAATCGCCCAAATTCTCCATGGACTTTGCACACAACCAAAGAAGCGGCGTCTGGATACTACATTCTTTCTAAAATCTGTATAGTTATAACAACGCTGACAGCAAATGGAATTAGAATCTGTTCATGCTGTCAGTTCTGCCCACAGTCTCTGCTTGAAATGGAATAAAAACTTGTGTACAGATGACTCTCGTTGTACAAACTCTGTTAATACAAAATTCTGGTTATAACAAACATAAAGCATTGGTCCCGACTCTGCATTTATGTACACAATGAATGGGACTGATGTTCCTCTTAATACAAAATTCTGATATAACAAACAATTTGGCTACTGTAGGTCCGAACGAGTTTGTACTAACGAGACTCGACTGTACATGTACTTGCTACAAATATACAGGCCAGGTCATTCAAGGCAAAGGCTGTCCACGTTAAGTACACGGAGGATGTTTATTTGAAAAGGTTGAAATTATCTTGCCCGATAAGGAATTAATTTGGGTGTTTTTTTGTTTTGTAAAAGCCCTTTAAAATAATTACTAATGCATAATTGTTTCAAGATTCAAACCTTTTATCAATGTTTTTGAACAGGCCACCAAAAAAAAAAAAAAAAAAAAAAGTAAATAACCAAAACAACTGCCACGCAGGCATGTACTTTATGATTTGTATTTCTAGGAACTTAATTGACTCTTCGAAGTGAGTATTCAGTTTTCTCACCCATGTGTGTAGTGTCCGTGAGCTATTTTGGGTATTAAATGTATGTCAAATGCTTGATTTAAATTTTCGTGTAAATAAGAGTAGTACCAAAGTCGTTTCATTGGCTGATATTACATTGATTTTAGATGTCTCATTTGTAATAAATAGGAAGGTTTGTGCTGTACGATTCAAGACGTTGCGTATTGGATTCGCAGTAACCCGTGAGGGTGTTATAAAACGATGTCCAGTGAATAACCATTCTAACTACGACGAGAAAAATAATGTTCAAGAAGGAAAAAACAGGGAGGCAAAATAAGCCTATTCAGAGTTCCAACTGCGCATTCATAACCTGTGACAACGCGCATTGTTTGTCTCAAATGGCCTTTGACATCATCACGCCACTGACTTTACAAAAAGGCTGTTTGTGCATTGTGGGTACTGTCAAAGGGCATTTGAGACAAACAATGTGCGTTGTCACAGGTTACGAATGCGCACAGTTTGAACTCCAAAAAGGCTCATTAGAATGTGCGCAATTAACCATCATCATTTCTATTTTAATAACGCCCATTTTTCCCATGCTGCGGGGTGAGACATTGTCTTTCTTTTATAATTGTAACTCATAACTTACGATTCATTGCAGCGCTGCAAAGAGTCGCAAAGTGTCTTACGATCTCCTCTCAAAAAGTTTTTAAAACGTAAAACAAAATGGCGGATGTGATGCAATTTTTAAAAGCGACCAAGCTATCAGTGGACTGTAAAGCTACTTTGAAAACAACTTTACACGCATTGTCTCGGTATTATAATCTTGTTTAAATGTATAATCTCGTTTAAATGTAATGTTTATGGCATTTAAGTTGCTAAGAAAAGGAAACTTTATTTTTTACGCTGACCACTAGACACGCCGTAACTTGTGACGTGTGATAAGTTGCTGTCAAGGAACTTACAACGCGTTCAACACATCTGAAGTTTCGTGAAACGGATCGTACGAGGCGTCGCGAGTTTCAACGTGTTTAACACACGTCGTACCTCGGGTATAAGAAATCGGGTAGCAGTTCCACGCAGTCCGATTTCTGACGTCCACATTGGCGAGGTTTGACTGTCTGAGGTCTTCTGCCAGTGTCTCATCCCAGGTCTTCCGTGGCCTGCCTCGTGGTCTCGGACCGACTATTTCAATGCTTAATGAAACAAAACAGTAGAACAATCATTTCGGAATATAAAGACAGCACGTTTCACAGGTTCCATTATTTATTGCAACAGTGCAAAAACGGAGAAACCAATTCATTGAAACAAAACTGTTAGAAATGACAAGGGCCAAATGTCATGGCGCTACTACGCACATAATTTTTCTTTGCTAACAGAGCCTATGTCTATTTCATGGAGACTGTAAGCAGTAAGCACAGCAAATGGCAGGCTTACTCAAGAGGAAAATGTTGCTTGAATCAGTGACGTAACGTTAGCACATCCACGCCATGTAATAGTGCTTAAAGTTACCACACTTTTCTGCTGTAGTAAGCTCCACTTTTCTGCTGTTATAAGCAGCCATGAAATTGATCCTGGGCGTTCGTCAAATGCTACACCTGAGCAGGTGTTTATCAAATTCTACACCTGTACAGGTGTTTAACAAATTCTACACCTGTACAGGTGTTCATCTAATTCTATACCTGTACAGGTGTTCTCCGAATTCTACACCTGTACAGGTGTTCATCAAATTCTACACATGTACAGGTGTTTATCGAATTCTACACCTGTGCAGGTGTTTATCAAATTCTACACCTACATGTATGCAGGCATTCATTAAATGCTACACCTGTACAGGTGTTTGGCAAATTCTACACCTGTACAGATGTTTGGCAAATTCTACACCTGTACAGATGTTTGGCAAATTCTACACCTGTGCAGGTGTTTATCAATGCCCTAGGCATGCTGACTTTTGTTCCCTCTAATTAATGCACTACATCAGAACAAGCAGGGTTTGCCTCGCCATGTTGGTTTTCATCACAAAACCCTAGAAAAAGGGCTCAGTTGTATATAGTCTCTATAAATGAATGAACTCCATTTTCATCAACAAGAAAAATACAGCCTATATTCTTGGCCAACAGCTTGTTTTCCTCTGAAACAGAGGGTCCGTTATTCATCCAGAAAAAAAAACCCATCAGGTTAGAAGTCTGTTGCAACTCGGACATGAGGCTGGATTTCTTGATGGTCTCCCATGTCCTCCCTGCGTAGTGAAACCTGCAAATGTCAGAAAATAACGGTCTTTCAATATCAAAGAGACAGAACACCATTCGGAGTACAGGTTGAGCTCACAGAGTCCAGGTGCAGATCCAGGGGGAACCCCTCCCCCCCCCCCCCTTGCAAAAAATTCCTGGATCCGACCCTGGTGTCTGTTCACTTTTCAAGAAAGTCTTGGTTTCCTTACAAAATAATTAAGATAAAAATGAAATAAATGCAGAATCTCTACACTCAGACAAACAGGTTTTTTTTTATTTGTAGTGTGAGGACTTTAAAGGGAATGTACATCATTGGCTTTAGCTGTAATTTTCAGAAACGAACTATTTGAGGGGTTAGTATAACAGATCAAATATTGGTACACTGACATGTTTGAAGTTTTGTGTTCGAAAATGCTGGAAAAACCAAGAAAAACACAAATGGTGGAGTAATCTGCTTCCCTGACTCCACTAAAGATAAAATGGATCAATTTATAGATGCCGGAAAATTGTGAGGTTAAGGGAACCAGTCTAGCTGGCCTGCACCCGTTCATGAACATGTAACCAATAGCAAACAAATTTGGACTGAAAAAAAATGGTGAATTTGGAGCAGTAGTTGAAAAATAGTTAGGTTTTTCCAACGGTGGTCAGCCGACCACCGTTGGAAATTTATACAAAAATACCATTTTCTTCAAAACGACTTCACACCAGGTGCCATAATTTTACAGGATGCTTTAAAGACTGTCATTTACCAGCATCCTAGTAAGGCATTTCGTAAAAACTTGGTAGTTTATTTTTCGATGTTTGCAAATGTTGTGTTTTCCTTTTAAAGAGGTTGTGGAATGCTCGAAGACATTTCCGTCATTTTTCGGGTATATGTAGCCTAAGGTGTGATGAAATAAAAACCACTATTGTTTCTGTCATGAAATGAGTACAAAAGGTACTTTTGAGAGCTGTTTTTCAGGTCCAGTTTCGACCCAAACGTGCAACTGTGTAAAAGTCGTCGTTGCGGGCAGCAAACAAAACACAGTAAATCGTGACGTAATAAACAGGACTCCCGATGCACAGTAGCATACACGAGTCCTGTTTATTACGTCACGATTTACTGTGTTTTGTTTGCTGCCCGCAACGACGATTTTACACGGTTGCACGTTCGGGTTGAAACTAGACCTGAAAAACAGCTCTCAAAAGTACCTTTTGTACTTATTTCATGACAGAAACAATAGTCGTTTTTATTTCATCACACCTTAGGCTACATATACCCGAAAAATGACGGAAATGTCTTCGAGCATTCCACAACCTCTTTAACATTTGCCTGTCCACTACAACAAATGCGATCAAAAGTTCAACTCAATTGAGGATCAGTCACTTTTAATCTGGCAAACATTGATTCATTTTGGAGATTTTATATATTTTAGGGGGAGTGTGTGGCCTAGTGGTTAGGATTCGTGACTCATGATCAGAGGGTCCCGGGTTCGAATCCAGCCGCTGGCCATATATTGTGTCCTTGGGCAAGGCACTTCACCCCCACTTGCCCCTCTCCACCCAGGAGTATAAATGGGTACCGGCATTAGCTGGGGAGTAATCCTGCGATGGACTGGCATCCCATTCAGGGGGAATAGAAATATTCTCAGTCGTTTCATGCCAAGGAAACCGGAGATAAACACCGGCCTGATGAGCCACATTGGCTCGGGACAGACTTTTAAAAAAATATATATATATTTGAAACAATCTATAACACCGAAAAGTAATATAAGCTGTAAAAAAAATTGAGGGAATAAATAATGTGCCTGGCTAATTTTATGCAGCCGTTTCAGAGGCCTGGACGCTGTAAATGGCCCGAGCTGAAGGTGAAAGACATTGTTAGTGACCAGTTCTAAAAGTACTTGTATAATACTGGCCAAGCACATATATTTATTCCCATTCATAAAAACCTTTGAGTCACAAAGTAAAAAGTCAAATACAAATTTCTAAGGATTTTGTTCAACAAGTTTTTTTACTTCATGTTTTTTTGAAACACCCCTCTTGCTATGTTATGGTATTTGCCTCTTGCCAGTAGTCGTAAACATCTCCTTATATGGATATCGGCACGCCTGTGGAACAAACTGTGCGATGTCGGCTGGTGCAAGTGTAAATTTAGGACTCCTGAAATACGGACTCATTGGTATAGTATTGCCCAAGTTTAACCAATAAAAGGGTATTAAAAAGGGACCAGATTTCATAGGAGTCCAAATTTCATGTGACACCGGAACAGGCTCTCGACCAATAGAATGGGTAAACTGTCTTTTAGTTATTTATGAATGAAAGTTAAAATGCTGCAACACCCCCTCTGCTTAAAAGCCAGAAGCAGAACAAAAGCCGTTGATGGGAGCATCTGCTACAAGTCCATTAAACTAGTGACCGATCTTCAAGATGAAGGAATATTTGAAGGGCAATAAATTGTCACCATCAAAAAATTTGTTGACAAAAAAAACTGACCAGTTCTTTTCAGTTAGCGGAGAGGTGTGAGTGAGGAACTACTGGCAGCACCGTAGATCTGGTTCCGGAAAGACTTGACGAGGAGGTCCACACTGGGATGGCCTTGATATGAGACCGGTAACAGACTCAGCAAGCTTGACTGATCTGATGAAGTGAAAAGAAAAAGATTCATACAGCATTGCAACATGTTTACATTAAAAACCCTTAATTGTCATTCACTGTCGGTCATCAAAAAGAACCGCATTGGTGCGCAGATTACTTGGATAAGATGCACAGATTATAACATTTCTTGGGCGGTTGCCAGGGACCGCCCCGTGCACCAAAAGGTTAAAAAAAAAAAAAAAAAAACATTAAGGGTATTTAAACAACATTTGCAAACGTCAAAAAACAAACCTACCAAATTTTATTAAATCTTGATGAAGTGAATAATAATCTCAAGCACCATGTGAAATCTTAACACCTGGTGTGATGTCATTTCAAGAAAAGTGGAATTTTTGTATCAATTTCCAACGATGGTCGGCTGACCATCGTTAGGAAAAAAACAGCAAACACAAATGCTATATATTACCTGTAAGTAGAGAAAAACAGATTATCTGTACATAAGAACCATAACAAGTAGATCTGGCAGACTCTAAAGAAAACGACTTAAGACACACGTGAGACAACAGGAAGAAAATCCTGAAGATCACCAAGCTTACCATCAGTGGATGAATTGCAGGAGAGAGTGAATGATTTTCTGTTTTTCTCTTTTTTTTTAAATTTTTAACGGAAGCTTACCATCAGTGGATGAATTGCAGGAGAGAATGGATGATTTTGTATTTTCTATTTTTTTATATTTTAATGGAAGCTTACCATCAGTGGATGAATTGCAGGAGAGAGTGAATGATTTACTGTTTTTCTCTTTTTTTTCATTTTTAATGGAAGCTTACCATCAGTGGATGAATTGCAGTAGAGAGTGGATGATTTTCTATTTTCAATTTTTTTTATTTTAATGGAAGCTTACCATCAGTGGATAAATTGCAGAAGAGAGTGGATGATTTTCTATTTTATTTCATTTTTAATGGAAGCTTACTATCAGTGGATAAATTGCAGAAGAGAGTGGATGATTTTCTACTTTCTATATTTTTTTAAGTTTAATGGAAGCTTTCTATCAGTGGATGAATTGCAGAAGAGAGTGGATGATTTTCTATTTTCTATTTTTTGAATTTTAATGGAAACTTACCATCAGAGCATGAATGCTCAGAGGCCGCGCGTGTCCAGATGTGGCAGAACAAACAAGTTGACATCAAGCGGCAGGTTTTTTAGGATTCAAACCAGGCATCAGTTTGGTGTGGGACAAAGATGCTGTACCTGTGTAAATGCAAGGACATAAGCCATAAGCCCCAGCCGCTTCGCACGAGGGCAACAATTAACAGGTCTCCCAACAAGTTCATCACAAGTCAGCCATATAAACTGAAAGCAATTGAGGTAAAGTGTTCTACTTGTGAGTAGAATTGAAAGCAATGAAATAATCAAGTTTACACCAGTCTGCTCGGGTGACGTCATCATGGGTCATGTGACATTTCATGGAACATGTTAGTACACATAAACACGCAAAAGAAATCATAATGCGGAAAATCCTATATATGCTCTATTTATGAAACAGAAGATCTAGTTTTCTTTTCTTTTTTAAGTTTCTTTTCTTCTTTTCATATGCTAAAAAAGAACTTTGTCGTATTTATGTAGAACTGGAAAGTGGTCGGTTTTCTCTCATGCTTCAATGTGTCTTGCATTTTGATTTGTGCATGTCGATATACTAGCACGATGTCGTCATTAAGTTGGAACCTTGACTTGTCTTAACTTATTCTTTAAAATGTTTATAGTGATAGAAACGTGCTACTTTTGTAGCACGTTTCCGACGCAATACTTAAATGAACATCTTCATCCCTTAAAAATTTGTTAAAGAGCCATTTTCCCTTGAAATTACTGTTCACTTAATTTTCACGGATTTTTCAACATATTAAGAGTCCGTGAAAACACCCTTTAAGAAGGTCCTTTGTTTACCCATGGAGATAGACTGAGTGTACCGTTATGTATAACCAATGATAATCCTCAGTGGACAGGGTCATTAAAAAAACGTGAAAATACCCTTACAGGATTAGTCCTATAAGCCTCATGTAAATGTCCGTGAAACATCTAGGATTCTTTTCATGGAAAAATTTTAATGAATTTTTAACGGATGAAGATGTTCATAGTATTTCCACTGAAAAAAAAACATACAACTACATGCACATGAAGCACAAAGTTACAAATTAAATTCAAAGCAAATAACTTTTCTCCCATGTGTGTAAAAAGACTAACACATACTGTATGGACTGTGACAAGTCTAAAAAAATTCCTAAAAATAGCACAATACCCTGTGTAGGGAAATTCCCAGATGAGAAATAATACGATATAGTACATATTGCACACGCACTGCGGTAACTTCCCAGTACAGCATTACTAATCTCATTTCCTAGTTCTGTGAACTAGCGTGCGTGGCTCCATGCTATTTTCACGGTTATTTTTGAGAGGATAAATAAAAGGTAAGTTACAAAAACATGAAGATGTACAATAAAGTTACATGTACATGCTAGCTTACATGTACATGCAAGATAATTGAGTCACATTCCAGAAATTTGGGGGTCCAAAAGTGTGACTTTTTTCTGTGTCCATATTAGTACACATGACCTATAAATTTGCCAAAAGTATCATTCAAATTAACTTCACACCATAATTGTTTCCTTTGTTTGGCGGGGGGGGGGGGGGGAATTAATTTGCTCACTCTTCGAGACAGCTGAAAAAATGTGTTATAAAATCTTACACATGCCAAATGTAACAGGGAAACACAAAAATGGTCCTCACATTTATGGAATGACCCAATTGTTTTTCCAGTCATGATGAAAGGTCTGTATACCTGTATGGCGCCTTTCAAATTATCATATTTAGTACATTTTGGAATGCACAAACTCAGATAATTATAAGCAGTTGTACATTGACAATATCATTGATGAGGATGTAGTAAGTTGAGTTCATGAGCCAGAGTAAAAGTGGAAATGTGGCTCATGTACATTGCAGAGAGCAAAGGAAAAGACCAGAACAATTTTTATATTTTTTTTGAGAGTTTTTTTTTTCTTGAAAGCTGGGCTCCATTTACATCATGTACATGTACATGTACATGTAAATCATCTCTCTTTTCTGAATATTTTGTAAACCCTTCATGTAAAAATGAAATAAAAATATTTTCAAAAAAGACTTCACGTCACACTTATACCGGCTGATGAAGCAGTATGAACCCATACTGAAACAGAGTTCACTGATTTTTGTGACGAGTCGAGTCAAGCCATTTTAAAGATGTGACTCGAGTCAAGTCGAGTCATTAGGCCAAAAAAAAAAAGTCTCCGGTTTCTGGTATGCGCGCGCGTCGCCGTAGCCATGCGCGTCGGCAAAATGAAAAAGTTTTTTTTTTTCAATGAAAGATGATGTCTCAAAACCGCCAAACTCACTGGTTTGCCTGGAATCCTGGTGCTGCACAATTTTAACGTGTTTTTAGATTGGGTTATGGTCGAGAATAAGCTTTATGTGGCCTCTCTGGAATCCCATATATTTGCACTAAGTTTAGTCAGGCACCATTTGCAGTCATCAGCTGACATTTGAAGCAAAAAAATCAGGTAAAAAAAAAAAAAGCGCGTCGCCGCGCCACTTTTGGGGCAAGCTCCATACCAGAAACCGGAGACTTTTTTTTTTGGCCTTAGGTAAAGAAGGTCGAGTAGAGTCGAGTCGAGTCACAGTGTGTAGTTGAGTCAAGTCAATGGAGTCGAGTCGAGTCAAGTATTAAAGCTTGAGTCAATTTGAGTCACAAATATTTGAACAATATACAATAAATAAACACAAGAGAGAAGTCATTTTTGGGGCTTTTTTAATTTTACATTCGGGCTATTGCATGTGGTGACACCACATTAGACTCTCAATGAAAATAAAAAGTAGGTGCCAGCTGATTGCCATTCAACTAATAGGGACACTGATCAAACCACGTCTACATTTTTCGCGAACATTCTAAATTGACGTGAACAAAACCAGCATCCGCGTATCGAGTCATTGCAAATATTTTTCACAAAGTTTTGCTTTTATTTTTTGGACTCGAGTCTTATTAGTTTTCCTTGAGTCGAGTCGAGTCATTCTGATGAGGGACTCAAGTTGAGTCAAGTCATTTGCTCGCAGTGACTCAAGTTGAGTCAAGTCATTTGCCCTCGAGAGTCGAGTCACCAAAAATTGTGACTCGAGTCGAGTCATTGACTCAAGTCATTACAACTCTTTACTGAAGCACAGTTTTCAGATCTCTTAAAGGCAAAGAGGAAGACAATGTTTGTAAAAATCAATTTCTTCGGTCAACAGATTTCAAGATGGCCGAAGTGACCACAGAAGATGTCCTGGACAAGATCAGTCAGGGTCACCTGGAGTGCACAATTTGCATCCAACGGTTCAACCGTCCCAAAATCCTCGACTGTCTCCACAGCTTTTGCCTTGGATGCCTTGAGGATTACAAACGCACCCAATATCCATCAAGCCCTAAACTTCCATGCCCACTCTGCCGAAAGGAAACTGTCCTACCCGACAACGGAATTGCTGGTCTTTCCAACTACTTCGCCATGACTGCACTGGTCGAGGAATTCACGCACCAGGAAAACCTTGTGAAGAGGCAGAAGTCGAGGATAGTGTGCGAGGTTTGTGAAGACGACGAGGCAATTTCCAGATGCACAGACTGCAAAGAGTACCTGTGCTGCGAGTGCCAGAGAGCACACCAACGGGCAGTGAAGACGAAGAAGCATGAGATTGCCACCCTGGATGATCTGCGGTCGGGGAAGGCAACCTTCAAGAGCAAGATGCGAGATGAGGTACCTAAGTGCAAGAAGCACACCAACCAAGAGGTGTGCTTCTTCTGCAATACCTGTAAGGTCTTGATCTGTGCTGTCTGCACCGCTCTAGACCACTGCAAACCATCTCATACCTACGAGGACATCGAGGAAGCAGAGATGTCATTCCGAGACAAGGCCAAGAGTCTGCTGTCGAAAGCAAAGGACAGCAGGCGCAAGTTCCTTGTGGCAAAGAATTTCGTCGACAGTGCATCCCAAAGACTTGAACTGATGCTTGCCGACACCTCGGCTGACATCTCACAGAGAGCGGATGAGGAGGTTGTGAGGATACGAGACATGGAGGCCAGCTTGAAGGAAGATGCTGCCAAAATTGGAAAAGAGAAAGCGGAGTTGTTGAAAAATGCCCAGGAGTCTTTCTCCGAGAACCTGAAATGGACACAAGGCACCTTGGAGATGGCTGAGGCCGTTTTGGATCAGTCCAGCCGTTTTGAGCTCCTGGAGTTGATGGAGAAACTTCTCTGCAACTTGAACGATATCAACGAGTTGGATGTTCCATGCCCAGAGCAAAATCTGTCCCCCTTCCTCGCATTCAAACCAGTACCAGTGAAGAAAGTTGCACTTGGGAAGCTTCTCCTGAAAGAGAAGTGGTCTTTGAAGGCGCACTTTGATGGCAAGGTCACTTCTGGCGAGGTCACAAAGGGGTATCGGTTCAAAATGGCTGCCAGCATTGCAACTTTCACCAACAGCGACATAATTGTTGCAGATTTTGAAGACTACAAACTCCATCTTTTCACTCCACAAGGCCAACTGAAGTTTGAATTTGTGGGACCCGGGGACCAACCCGAAGGGCAACTGTTCAATCCATATGACCTTGCCGTGACTCAAGATAACAAGTTGGTGGTCATTGATAATTTGCTTGTGAAAGTCTATGATGCACCTGACACTCAACATATCAAGTTCCTGTTCAGTTTCACACCACCTTCAGAATCAGACGGCGATGAAACAGGAAGTGATCTCTCCTGCATTGCAGTTGACGAAAAGAACCGCATCGCAGTTGGCGATGCAAAGAGAAAAATCATCTCTCTACACGAGATAGATGGCTCCCTGATCAGCAAAGTACCAGCCGAGCTGCTGGACAGACGTCTTTCCATAAGCAACAAGGAGCGACTCATCTTCAGCAATTATCAGAAAGCCAAGTTGGTTTGCATCGACTTCGACGGACAGGAGGTGTTCTGTGTAGATACCGTCGTTGACGGTAAACAGCTGAAGCCAGCCGGGATGTGCTGCGATCGTCACGGCGATATCTTTATCGTTCTCCACGCCAGCGACGAGCATGGAGCCGGGGAGATTCACCGCTACAGTGCGGAGGGCGCCTACATGGGACGCATCGCTGCTGGTCTGAGGAATCCGCTGGGATTGACACACACTCCGGCTGGTGAACTTGCAGTTGCTGATATGCTTTCGGTGAAGATTTACCATAAAGATTGACAGAATTAGCAATATCTCGGGATGCAGTCTCCTTTCTTGCTGTATCCTGACAGGCCCGTCACCACTACTGCGCATTGGGGGAGGACATAAAGTACCAACTAGGGAGGCCCACTACCATAAAAAAATACAAAATACAGATGGCTTTTTTTTCTCGCCAAGGCCAGGCCTCCCTTGGCGACGGGCCTGATCCCGACATACTTGTTCAATCCGCACGTGGTCCCTGAAACAAAAAGTAAAGTCTGTCACAAGTGGCTCATCATGCTGGCATTTATCTCCAGTGTTCTTCGCACAAAATGACAAAGAATTTCAATTCCACCCCGAGATCGGATGCCAGATGACTCCCCAGCTAATCCTGGTACCCATTTATACTCCTGGGTGGAGAGAGGAAAGTGAGGGTAAAGTGGCTTGCCCAAGGACACAACATACTGTGCACTTACTGATGCTCTCCAGGTGTGAATTTTATGGGGTGGGGGGGCATTATCCCCCCCCCCCCCCCAAACAAATTTGCCCAACGCTGATCAGCCGATCAGCGTTGGAAATTGATACAAAAATAGCACTTTTCTTGAAAATGACAGTATACCAGGTGCCATGATATTACAGGATGCTTTACACTGTCATTCACCAACAGTCCAGTAAGGTATTTCAAAATGATTTGGTAGTTTTATTTTTTGATATTTGCAAATGTTGTATTTTCCCTTTAACAGGGACATGGTTGAAAAACTGAATACCAACAAATTCAAAGTATACAGTTGTTCAGTACTCAAGCCAAACTTAAGTCGAAGCGAGGACAATACATGTCGAGATCACTAATATTGCCATTGATAATGTAACTCGATCATTTTAAGCATCTAGGTGTCTGGTTAGATCCATCTCCAACACGGAATGTGCACATTGACAAACTGTCTCAGAAAGTTAACAAGCGTGTGGGGGTTCTCTGGAAATGTCCTGCCTCATATCAGCATACGTACAGTACATTTGTTACAACATGTAAACAAAAACACTTTCCGCATAAGACAAGCTTCTATACGAGGAGATTAAGTAATGCCGGTGAATCTCATATTAACGAGAGTCAACTGTGAATAGTGAATTGTTAATAACTTTCTCAAACATATATGTAAAGTAAAAAAGAAAATTGTGAAAGTAAAACTACTTTTGTTTCTGTGCTAGTACTAGAGACATTTCAAGTCAAAATAACCATTTACTGCAAGTAAACTTGTACAGGATTACATTTGCGTCAATTTCTCCTCATGCTAAAATGTTCACAAATTTGACCTGATTGGTTTCTCAGTGTTGCATATGTAAAATTAATCTTAAAATTTACATGATGAGATTGTTTCAGGAAAAGATTATTAATTTAGAGATCAATTAATAGTTTTTGGTCATGTTTTATGAACCAATGTTCTAGATTTTTTGTGCTGGTGGTTTGTACAGTAGTGGACGACGAGAATATGATGCGAAGGGGAATATTAGTATAACATCAAAATAATGACAGAGGACAAGAAACACAAGAAACGCCGTCACGTTAGCAGTTTATCCAATGGTTGCTGTGATTTGTTGTTAAATACCTGAAACCACCAAAGAGGAATTTCTACACATGAATGGACATGCAGCCTTTCGCTAAATAGGATTTGAGCTGATTATTTATACTGCTTTTTGACGTTATCCTCGAATTTCCAAAACTTAAGTAACCTTTTCTTTCAGTTTTTGATGGAATTTGAGGGTGATTTTAAAATTCAACAAAGAAAGAAAGAAATGATTCAACACATATTACATGTATTATGTCCATAAATGTCCATTCACATTTTAACAATTTTTTGGGTGGTTTCAGGTACTGTTAAAAAAATAAAAAAATAAATAACCATTGGAAAAATTGCTAACGTGACAGATGCAAAGTGGCTCCCTTTATTGTGTTTCTTGTCAGAAATCAAAATCAAAATCAAAAGTTACAAATAAAAAAATTACAACTTAATCTAAACACATTGACGATCTAAAAGTGTAATCCCCTACTGTTGACTCCTAGTGCAAAACACTTTTTGAACAGTTGAACAAAGAAATTGACTTGAGCGGGGTTTGAACCTGCCACCTCCGGGTTACCGTTCCAGTGCCCTACCAACTGAGCTATCCAGCCCTATGTTGGTAGTTCCCCAATTGGTCAATATCTTCGTAAAACACTCATGTTGGAGAACAGCAATAAAGCTAAACTATAAATTGTACATGTAACAGTTATCTGGGTGCTTTGTCTTTAAACACATGTGTTTTAAAAAGGAACAGAGGTCTATGTCTGTTCCATGAACAAGCTTTTTTCGTTCATATTGTGGCAGTCGTGCCGACAGCAACCCCAAGTTGTCCTCGGCGGTCAATTCTGAGAAGGCGAGCGGTCAATTCTGAGAAGGCCAAGGAAGCAGGCCCGTTTTGGGGCAGTCTACCGCCAGGCGCCGCAGGGGAACAACTTTATTCGCGGGCGGGTCTTACGCCAGCAGCTCTCGCGCCAGCACACACGGGAACAGGGCAGGGGAAGGAAAACGGGGCACCTCTAAATCAAACACAGGACTGTTCTCTTTAGGTTGACATTCCTTTATTATAATCTACTCAGGCAGACTGCAAATCATCTCTAGGCCTTGACAGGTGTTGGTCACCTTTCCAGGTGCCTCCCCTAAACAGGTGCGGGTTTCCTAAACAGGTGCAAGTTCCCTGTACAGGTATAAATCTTCCCCAGTAAGTTAACGTCCACTCACCACTACGGCCTCGCTACTTATTCCCGTGGATGGAGTTCCTCCCCTCTTCAACTGACCGAACTAGCCCCCGCTAAATTTATCCCAGTAAGAGCCTCACTTACGGACACAGCTGCCTACTACCACTAATCTGCAAAGGCGAAGGACTGAATAAACACGCTCAGCAACTGCGACCCACTACAGGTCACCCGTGTCTCACTACTCTGGAACGGGACTGGAACTGCTCAGGAACTGCCCTGCTGAGCACGCGCTTGCGCTTATATACCCATGCGGCAAACAGACTGGCGCTGCGGCGCATTACGCGCATCAGACCTGACTGACGTCTAGGTCATTGTCTAATCTACAGCTACGATAGCCCCTGGATACCACCAAACTACTATTGCGCCACAATATTGTTTTGGGTTAATTTCATGTACAAACACAGGTCCACAACAATACGTCTTATTGACCGTTTCGACATTTTGCTGAAACAGTCTTTGTTTTCGCTAAAGTTTTTTTTTTTTTGGCTGTTTCGGCAACCAGCCGAAACAGCCTTTGTTTTGGGGTATTTTTTCCTTCTTCTTTTTCAGCCATGTCCCATAGCATTTGTACACGTTTTTATCGTGGGAGGCTTTATATGGGCACTAAAATCAATCCGATTGACTTTATACTCGGCACACACTTAGACCAGCACCTGAAGATGTGCGCCAAACATTGACATCATGATGACGTCAATGTTTGGCACACATCTTCAGTCATGTGACATCACAATATAGGTGCATACTTTGAAGGCCTATATCATATCTACAGAACTACGTACAGGTCTGATTGGCATGAAACTTGGTATGTCCCTAGACCGGGATGTGTTATTGATGAAAACTACTAACCAGAAATGAGTCCCTAACAGATATAAGCTCACTTAAGTCATGATCTAGGGTGAAATCAAACATTTCAGGCTTTTACCCAAAGGTTCAATCTAAAAAGTTGTCCATATCCGCGGTGATCAAAAATACTGATTTTGGCCCAACAATCCAACTATACGAAATTTAGTAATATCGGAGTCTTATATAGCACACGTATCTACCAACAATTAGGTACTCAATGCGCTGGAAATTATGTCTATTATTATAGAAAGGTAAATAAAGTTACACAAGTGCATTACACAAGACACGGGACCTACGGCTTTACATCCCATCCGAAGGACGAAGCAATAACGGTAAAGTGCCTTGCTCAAGAGCACAAGAACCACGGTTCCCATGGTCAGGATTCGAACCCATGTACCATGGCACACGAGTCGAACACCGTAACGATTGAACCACAGCACCCCAATGTCAAAAGTTCTCACCAGGTGGGTATAGAGGCCAAAAAATGAATCCCCGAGAGATTTCAGCTCACAAAAGTCAGGATTCAGGCAAAAAACAAACATTTCAAGTTTTCAGCCAAATGTCCCTAATCTAAAAAGTTGTCCATATCTGTCAACATCAAAAACACTGATTTTTTGCCAAAAAAAATCCAACTACACAAAATTTAGTCAAAAGTTCTCACCAGGTGGGTATAGAGGCCAGAAATGAATCCCCAAGAGATTTCAGCTCACAAAAGTCAGGATCCAGGCAGAAAATAAACTTTTCAGGTTTTCAACCCAATGTCCCTAATCTAAAAAGTTTCCATATCCGTCGTCATCAAAAATACTGATTTTGGGTCAAAAAGTCCAACTTCACGAAATTAAGTCAAATGCTTACACGAGGTGGGTAGATGCCAGAAATGAATCCCAGAGAGATTTCAGTCCACTACAGTCAGGATCCGGGAAGAAAACAAACATTTCAGTTTGGAACACAAATGGTCCGAATCTGAAAAGTTTTCCATATCCGTCGTCATCAAAAATACTGATTTTGGGTCAAAAAGTTCAACTTCACGAAATTAAGTCAAATGCTTACACGAGTTGGGTAGATGCCAGAAATGAATACCAGAGAGATTTCAGCTCACTACAGTCAGGATCCAGGCAGAGAACAAACATTTTAGTTTTTTACCAAAAATGGTCTTAATCTGAAAAGTTTTCCATATCCGCGGTCATCAAAAATACTGATTTTTGGCCAAAAAATCTAACTTCACGAAACCAAGTCAAAAGTTCACACAAGGTGAGTAGACCCTAGAAATGAATCCCCAAGAGATTTCAGCTCACTACAGTCAGGATCCGGGCAGAAAACAAACATTCTAGTTTTTTTACCAAAAATGGTCTTAATCTGAAAAGTTTTCCATATCCGCGGTCATGAAAAATACTGATTTTTGGCCAAAAAATCTAACTTCACGAAACCAAGTCAAAAGTTCACACAAGGTGAGTAAATTCCAGCAATGAATCCCCAAGAGATTTCAGCTCACTACAGTCAAGATCCGGGCAAAAAACAAGTATTTTAGTTTTTTACCAAAAATGGTGTTAATCTGAAAAGTTTTCCATATCCGCGGTCATGAAAAATACTGATTTTAGGCCAAAAAATCTAACTTCACAAAACCAAGTCAAAAGTTCAAACAAGGTGAGTAGATGCCAGAAATGATTCCCCAAGAGATTTCAGCTCACTGCAGTCAGGATCCGGGCAGAAAACAAACATTTTAGTTTTTTACCAAAAATGGTCTTAATCTGAAAAGTTGTCCATATACGCGGTCATGAAAAATACTGATTTTAGGCAAAAAAATCCAACTTCA